GGTCATTAGTCATGTCTAACTAAAGCAGTGTGTTGCTTTATCCGGCTGTGATTTAAGACTTCACACGTTGAGAATTTGGTATAGACAAGCAAAGCATCACTGAGAAGCTTTAAGTTGTAGCAAATTAACTACAAACCACTTATTCTATATAATAATTTTCATATGATTCAAAAAATAAATATGTACATTAACTGTTGGTTTCATCTTTTTTTTTGTCGTGTCAGAATGTCCATTTCAGGGTTGTAGTCAAGTCACCAAACCTCAAGTCTGAGTCAAGTCCCCCTTTCTGAGTCTGAGCAGAGTTTCTTACTTACTTTGCTGGGTGCGTCCTGGACAGACATCTACTTAAGTCTGAGGTTTTCCCAGTCTTCAATGGTTCCTTCACATATTTATCATGTTGTGCTGCTCTTGTTTGATTTTTTTTTGTTAAATCATCGAAAGTAAAACGCACCGTTCATGTCGCCTCTTTAGGAATCCTGACAGGAACTGTTGCTGAACAAGACAGAATGTAAATGATCATGCAGGTGAACACATGTGCCATCCCTGGCTCAAAACTGACAAAATTATCAGAGCTTTAGGTTGCTTTCACATATTATTCGGAGGGCTCGTTTTTCATTTGGTTCGGTTTTGCTTTCAGACTGCACTTTGCCAAGCGCACCAAAGCCTGTCAAATTCTGTGTACCGTAGCCACGCGTCACTGGTTTCTGTACAGATGTACAGAAAGGCCTGCTCAAGTCGGGAATTGGTGATAGAATTAGGTGCCCGACTTGCACCTTGACATATTCATCATCAACATGAAGAACAAAATGTGTTTTTTAGTAATGTAAAGATAGCCTACTATTTAATTCACGTATTGCACATCAACGTTTTGATCAAATATAGCCTAAATTGTAACAGAGACATTACACACATCGTCTTCCTAGAATCCCTGCTGCTGTTGTTGTTGTTGTTGTTGTTGTTGTTGTTGTTGTTGTTACAACATTCAGATGTTTCAAACTGAAAACACGTGAACCCACTAAAGTTTGATGAACTACCTCCCAACTTGAAAACTGTGACCATCTGAGGAGCATCTGAATGCAGCATAGCTCCGGTCAGTAGCTGCTGCTGTCATCCAGCCTGCACTACGACCTGAAAGTAAATAACAAGACAGAAGATTGGCATGAACAAATAATGTATGACAGAAACCTTTAGACTAAAGCAATGCTATCAGCTCTGTCAGGCTCTACAGTACTGATGCACAGCACTGCAGTAATTTCTATTTGTTCACCAGCTTAGTTAAGCATGTTAGCATTCTATCATTAACTTCACAGTTAATCTAGACAATGTACAGCTGATGCTGAACATCGACAGTAAGTGATCCTTCCTGTTTGGGAATAGTAAGTCTGTATCAAATCTATTTTCTGTTCATCCAACAGCTATGGAGACATTTCGTTCAGAATCGCAAACTTGAACCTCTTATGGGCTTTTGAAAGATGATCACAAAATCACCAAAATGATAGCATACATTGTTAACTTGATTTTCTCAGTGAAAACTAAAAGCTTTTACCTTCATGGGAGAATCATCATATCTATAGTCACTTTAATGTATCCACTGGGGAACATAGATTCCTGAACAAAATCTGTCTATCCAATAGTTTGTTACACACTGTATTTCAATCTTTCAGATAACTCTATAGTTTTTTTTAGTCACATTGGGAGCTGTTCCAACAACTCTCAGACTACATTAGTAAGATTTGGCTCCAAAGAATCATGTCATCCAATTGATTTGTTATCCCAATCAAAATGGAATAATAACAAATCATTTTGAGAACTATGTTGTAAATAATCTGGTTTCTGGCTTTAAAATATGTGTGTTGACAGCGCTCTTGAGTCTCGGATGATAATTATATAACTGTAAAAAATAATGTGGTCTAAACGTTGACTGATTGAAAACGCCTCTTGGGTTACAAGTGTGTAAGTTAATTCTTTATACTGACATTCAGTTGAAGTAATAGCTGCTTGGGATGTTGAAAATCAGAAAAAAAAGACATAAATAGTGATATTCTTAGGAAAATCCTTTGCAGTGTTGCAAAGCATTGGTTCCCAACCTGGGGTCCAGGCCCACCAAGGGGGAGCACCTGAGATCTCTGTAAACGAGTGTGTAGGCATGTATTCAGATTTATGTTAATGTTTGAAATGAAATGTATTATTTTTTTCTTGTGGATCCTGGAGGGGGTCAGTTTTACTTAGATACAAGTAAGGGGGTGCTCCAAGGAAAAAAGGTTGGGAACCACTGATGTAAAGCATACATCATTTGGAGCTAATGTTCCTAAACATGCAGAACCATCTGATCCTTAAGGTCACTCTCTCCTGATATTTGGTCTGGCTTTTATTTACACCTGGAAAGAATAATGGTTTCAAACATTTGGTTCAATCATAAGGGACTCTCTAGAAAAGACACTAACCAGTGCCAAGGCAGTGCAGCCAGTTTTTTAACTGAGGCAATCTAATTATAGAGAACCTGGCAAAATCTCTGTAATGATGCAATGGCTGCTAGCTAAAAAAAAAGGCCAGTGTGTCTGTCTGCTCTCGACTATGCCTCTTGTTTTTCAGTTGTATTTGTGTCGTGCAGGACAGAAGCAGCAGCTGCTCATAAGTATTCATTAGTCCTGCTTATGGATTAGCTGAGACAAATTATGCTGGTGTAGATTGGGGCTCCAAACTGATCTGCCTCCTACAGAACACAGTGGGCTCTTCTTCTTTCTGAGCTCTAACCACAGCTGTTTGAAAACACTTGACTTTTCCAACGACAATGTTCTCAGATAGCTGTGGACACTTTTGTTCCTCTTACTCAAACATTTGTCAGCCCTGGTTCTTGTTTGTAAGGTTTTTTTTCCCCTGGTGTGCATTGGAAAGTAGCATGTCCACCTGATTTTACTTTATTGACAAAACTGTGATGAGACACTGTCGGCTCATGTTTGTTGACATTGGTTGTTATGGTGGTTGCTCTGGATCGGGGGCCCAAGTCATCAGATTTCCAGCTCCATTTTTGCACACCCAGCTCATTCCAGTAAGCCCCATTTTTCAGCATTTTGTCATCTGGTATACTCACTCACATACTTACTCATTTGGACAACTTGGGTGTTTTCTGCCTTGGAAAAAAAAGCCAGCCTGTCTTTCTCTCTCCATGCTTCTACCACTTGGAACACATGCACCGTGTATTGGGTGCGTTGTGTCTGCCATTCAGGACAGCTGCACAGACTGGCTATCCCTGAGATCTCCTTAATGCCCACATACACGCCCCTCAAACCGAAGCACACACACACACACACAAACATAAGTCATAAGTCAACCTCTCTACACAACCCCTCCCTCCCAAATCCACACACACCATGTACCCATGTCATCGCTGCTGCATCGTCCCCGCCCTGTTGTGCCAGAGCAAACTCTACTCCACAGTCCACTATTCACTTTGTTTCCATACGTCCCTGTCGACCCCCGCCCCCCACCAACTCTTTGTCACTACAGCTGTGTGTCAGCTGTCGGCCAGTCCCAGTCTGGTCAGAGAAGAAGCCGAAACACAGAGGGTCTACAGGGAAGCCAGCCCGGCCTCTCCGACTTTCCCAGCTGTCACTCCCACTTCAGACTTCCACTTATCACAAGGTTTCTTTCCTCCCTCCTGTTTCACCGCTGGAAGTCTTCATTAAACACTTTCAAAATTTAAAATATGCACCAGTGATAGTCATCAAATGTGATTATTTTTTCTGCTTGATTCACAGTTATTTTTTAAAAATATGCTGGTGTCAGAGAGAAAAAGGTACACCTATATAGTATATTTGAGCAAAGCATTGGGTTTAACCTAATTCTGAGAGACTGTAGGCCTGAAAAGTCCTAACTAAATTAGATGCAGTGCTACATTAAACTGCTTTCAAGAAGGAAATAATGTTCAGTTTTAGTTTAAACTTTAGAGTGGTGGTGATTCAAATTGTCGTCTTGGTCACTAATGTTTTTTGTTAAATGTACCGGTAATTGTATTACATTGTACTATGCTTCTATCAACACAATTCACCAGCACCACAGATAACATGCTCTGAAATGACCGTAGTTGAACCAACATCTCTTCATATCATTTTAAATATAAACTGAACTTAATGAACTCCTTGAAGGATCTATTTCAAGATATTTATATGAGACTGCACTACTTTTGGAGTACCTAATAAATTGACAACTGGGAGGAGTTTTTTTGAGGGGGCAAATTTTAACATTTCCTGCATTTAAAAAGTTACTCACCCTGCAAAATGTCTGTATATGTTATTAGCAAGTCATACACGTACCAAAGCCCACACATTTTTGTGTCACCAATTAAATCAAAATACTCTGACATCTGTCCGTCTGTTGTCTCTCACTCATTGGCTTTATTTCTTCCATTTCCCGTCTTCATTTGTTTGGTATTTGTTCTAAACAAATAATCTCCAAATTGGTGCTTTAAATAAAATGTGTTCTGTTAATGAAAAGTAGGTTTGAGATCAGTAGTTTTGATGAACTATTGTCATTTTTAATAGAGAAGGAATACAATTCTTTGGGAGAAAAATGGGGCTGGCTAATTATACCATCCTCAGTTACCAAGCTGTGTGTACCCTTTCTAAAGGCAGCAAAGTATTATTGTGTCCCAGCATTCTGCTGCCAGAGAGGGAAAAACAAATTAGCTTTTGAAAGTGGCCTTTGTTGTATGGCTTTGTGCTCGCTCCTCCGGGGTTCGGCCCATTGCTGAGCTTGGCACGCAAAACATTGAGAAACAAATGACTGTGAAACATGCTACGTGCTTCTAACTAAGAGGATTTGATTCAGTTTGGTAATCAATGAAGAAGATGTTGAGTCTGTGAGCCCAGCAGCCTAATGCTAGAGCTGTTTACCTGCAAGTAAAATGTAAATGTTGGCTGAAAATATGAAGGACGTTTCAGCAAGGTCATACCTGATTCATAAAGTGAATGCATCTAAGTATATCTTTCTTTCTTGTACAGGTATGCCTGGGGTCATCAGCGTGTCTCCGGACAGGTAACCAGGTGTCTTGTTGCTGTCATGGCCTCGCCACCCCTGAGGCTGTTTCCTGACATTTTGCTAACAGCCCTGGTGGTGTTGGTGTCGTCTTCAGAAGACCATGAGTGGCACTTTAACCCAGGTAGGTTAAATCTACATGCAAAAAAGACAATATCAAAATGAGTAATGGAGAGATTTTCACCTCAGTTTTCTGATTACTGTTAGCTAATTTGCTCTTTTGCTTCAAGGCTGAGGGAAATACAATCTTTGAGAAAAGATTCATTCACTTTTATGTCAAGTGGTCATTTATCTCTAACGCCCTGCTTAGGTTTGGAAGCTCCAGTGCTGTAATAATGTTGTACTGCTGTCTTTCAATTTGTCTGTGGTAGAAATGAAGGGTATCTGACAATTGTTATCAAACTATTTCACTATCACAGCTGAAGAGACAAGCGATACTGATCACAAAGAGGATATTAGGTTATATTTCAAAGTAGAACAGCATATTCAGAAACCTGCTGGCTACTACAAAAGCGAATGTTAGCGTTCAACTGCTTCCTCATTATGTCAGCAGGAATTTATAACTTATTTAATTGTACAGTGTAACACTACCCATTTTAATATTGATTTTCCGCCACTCCTAAGCTAATGGTAACATTAGCTACTAAGTGTCTGAGTGCTAATAGCTGTGGTCTGACTTATTCAATGGCTTTCAAGTATATTGTTTAAACTTGAAATATGGTCAGTTTTCCCTGATTTATTTTTTCCGGTTCACTGTCTTTCATGTTGCTGATTAACCTTGACTGGATGAAATGAAATTATTCTTTCAAATTTCCTAAATTTCTACTACAACCTTGAAACCACCAGTTTGTCTTTTTAACACCTTTGGATCTTACCAACTGTTACATGAAGTCTGACCATGTTCACACAGTGGCAGATTTTGTCTATTAGATGCAAAAATAACCCCCTAAAGTGAGAATAAATATAATAATGTAAATAATGTTCAGCTTGTTGGGCCTGATTCTGAATTAAAGACATTGCAGGATATTACTAAACTAAAACATCTAGTCTGATTTCCTCGTAATTTTAACTGTGTGTGGGCTCGGGCTGAGGAGTTTATAAAAATGTCATGGGGCAGCGGTGGCCAATTGATTAGCATGCGCACCCCACGTAGAGAGGCAGTAGTCCTTGAAGCTGCTGGCCCGAGTTGGAATCCAACCTGTGGCCACTTTTCCACATGTCAATACCGACACTCTCTCTCCGATTTTTGACACTATCCACTGTTCTATCTCTTAATAAAGACACAAAAGTAACACAAAATAATTGTCATCAAAACATAAACAAGCTATGCTTTCTCACTCAGCATTTGTCCGGTGACTAGGGCTTTAACATTTTGATGCAGTCAAGTGGAGTTGATGCAAATTTACTAGTGAAAAAGTCTTCAGAGGTGACGTGTTGTAAACACAGGTATTGTGTAAAACATGAACAGCAGAGAGATAATGAAACTGTGCGTCATAGTTGACGTGTTTATTTATCTCATTCCAGTTATTCTAAAATTGAACAATGTACTGTATAGTGCATATTTCTTTAAGGCCTAGTATGATCCCTCTAAAAAACGCCAGCCTCATTTCAACAGCTTGTTAGTAGCTGCATTTCAAGGTTGTTTTTTATACATAAAAACTCAGAATTTTTAAGCCTATTACCCCTTCTTATCCCCACCCTCTTGTCCTCGGGCACAGCAACCGTCCGTCCTGCTGCCCCAACATTCTCCTCACATTCTCAGATCAGTAAGGCTCATTCTCTGTCCGCTATCAACAGGCTATCCTGTGTCCTCGCTCTGTCTGCCAGCCAGTCGTATATGTAATAGGAGAATGAGATAGGTGGGCAGCCCCCCCCCCCCCCGGCTCATCAGAACCACTAATGCGCAGGCAGCTCATGAAAGTGTCAGTCAAAATGCCTGGAGAGGGAGGGCATGAGGGGTTAGTGAGTCAGAGCCAACAAGGTGTATCCAGAGGAGACCTTCTTTTATGTTGTAGCTAGACTGTGAAAGAGACAAAGCTAATGGATTGTTATATTAATCATCTGTTTATCATTTATGTCATCATTTGTACTTTTTTCTTAGTGCTAATCACATTTCAAGATAGCAAACAGTAAATAGTCCAACCGCCTTCAGCATTTAGCTAAAAAACAACATTGTGCCTTTGATTTTTCTAGAAGCAGTTTCTGCTCCTCCATTTCATGAGATAATACTGACTTTGTTTTCAGTTTTTGACTGCGAGTCAGACTAACAACTGATAAGTAGATGTTGTGTTTTTTCTAATTAATGAAGAAAATTATTTGATAAATTACATTATCATTTTGTATCTTGAAGAGTTGTGGGGGGCCGAAACATATCGCGGGTGACATTGGACAAGAGGCACCATGGACATGGAGTTGATGACAAGTGTCATTAGCATAAATGGAAAATCGATTTTCAATAAAAAGTTTCAGGATTCAGTTGTGTCCAAATGATATGAGATGTAGCTGGCTCATATTAATACAACTGGAACAGAATGTAAATAGTGACAAAGACATGCCTTTAGGAATTTCAAACATTTAGAAATACCATAAGCTGGAGACGTGGATCCAAGTTTCTGTGTAGGTTCTCAGTCATCCAGGTCATGGTGATTCAAGCTTGATCCAAAGGCAACTGGACTTGGTTGAAGATCTTGAAGACTTTTCACCTCTCCTCCAAAGACTTCTTTAATTCTGTTAGAAGTGAAGAAGCTTTTTCGAAGCAAGGGTGAGACATCTTCAACCAAGTCCAGTTGCCTTTGGATCAACCTTTGAATCAAAGTGTTTACTTGATATTGATACAGATTAATGGTACATTACGCCCTCACTTTGGACAGATTACAGGTCAATTGGCGGGTTGAAACAGACAGACATCCATTAACACTCACATCTACAGGCAGAGGTGCAAATTAACTTAGTTTGCCTGTTTTTCGACTATGTAAGGAAGCTATAGTTCCTCAGCTTCAGCTTTAATTAAAGCATGAAGCAATAAAGGCCCCAGTCTACCAGAACATTCCTTTTTGTGAAGTCATTGAACAATGTATTAATTTATCAACTAATAGGGTCTGCATTGATCTGCATAAATCCTGAAGCAAAATTGTTCAAGATCCACCCATTTTGTTTTGTTGAGCCGTATCAAGCTGGAAAGTTTGAACTTGTGGTCTAAAGTGTTTTTGTAAACGACAAAAAGAGAAGGTGAAAGCAGAGGACACGGAGGAGGTCAGAGACAGAAATGAGAAGATTGCAGATGACGGGGTGTTGACTGCCAGTGTGTGATGATGATGATGATGATGTAATGAAATGGGCACCTGTCTGTCCCCAGGGTGTGTATGAACTGTGTGTGTGTGTGTGTGTGTGTCTATCCGCTGCACCCCTCAGGGTTTTTAGGGTCTGTCATCCAGCCCAACATTCCTGTCCGCTGACTCAATGACAGAAAACCAAATCAGACGCCAACCCCACCCCCGCCTCTCTCTGTCACCCTCGGCCTCCCCTCCATATCACTGTCAGTGCCCCTTTCCACTTTATCGCTACCCACACCCTCTCTCAGCCTCCCCCATCGCCTCCACCTCCACAACTCTTCCTCATGGCTTACTTCAGAGCGGATAGCTGGGTCATTGGGTAATCCTTGCCTGGGACCTCTCTATCTGGATCATTTGATAATGCTGCTGCTGGAGCGCATTCAGAGCAGATATCTGAGACCTGTCTGTGTTCTTTCATTTGCCCTTCATGTCTTTCTACTCTTTTGTTCTGTTCCTGCAAATCCAAGAGCAGTGGTAACTGGAACAGGGACTGTGCTGGATCATTAGAGCCCCAAGGAGGTTGCTTTGTGTGTGATGGAGAGTGAACAGGAAAGACAAAAGTGAAAAAAAGAAACAGGAAAGGTGTAGTCATACAGAAGACAGGTCACACCATCTCACAGGGTGGCAGATGCATTTTAATGACTATCTTTTATGCAGTCACTTTGCACCAGACAAAAAGGAGACTTGAAGGTACACGTGATGCAAACCCCACCAGTACATTTTACATGGACTCATTAGTCCAGACCCCACAGAGAGGTTTGAATAATGACCAACAGGAAGAATTTATTGTAGAGGTTGGTGTTCCCTCTCCCTCCCCTCTGTGTGGGATATGAAGCGTGAAGTCCGGAAGTTTTCCCAGAGATGACATAACAATATTATTCTCCATGACCAATGTTGGCTGCTGACAGTCTAATGGAAATATTAGGTTTCCTCTGGACATGTGCTTGAACGGATGAGAATTTTGCTCACGTCTCTTTCTCCTTCTCAAACTTTCCTCTAAAGCTCAGTGTCGTTACGCCCTGGGAATGGAGGATGGCACCATCCCAGACTCTGACATCACAGCCTCCAGCGCCTGGTCCGACTCTACTGAGGCCAAACATGGAAGGTAGGAAATGTGTGAGTGTGTATTCAGCACTAAAAGTGCTAAAATGACATTACTCAAAACACAGTCATCTCGATACATTTCCTGTAATCAAAGTTAGGGTGGGTGGTTGCAGTCTGAAAAAGCTGTAATTCTACTGAAAGGTTACTTAACACCAGGCGGGAGAACAGTTTTCACTGACTCTGATCACAACAAGCATTATAGAAAAACAAGAAAAACTCCCAAGGCACTCTCTTGTAAACCATTAAAATATATATAACATGGCATTTGAATTGTTTAAGAGTGTTTTTTTTTCTGACTGCTTGTATCTTTATCCCAAGATCACCTCAAACCTACACTTTTGTGAGTTGTTGTAGCACCTCTGGCTACATTTTGCTACATGAGTTCACCAACAAGCAGCTCTTTTGGTTGTCATCAGATAAATGTTCTGTTGCACCTGCACCCAGTCCAAACAGTGGGCTGAAATTGGGTCGCTTCTCACACACACATGTCCCAGACACGGAACTCCATTCATTCAGCTTTCCTTCAATGAAAGACGCCAGGAGTGAAGATGGCGGCGCACCACAGTAGAGATGGTGCGTTGTCATGCCGGTGCGGTTGAGTTGTTTTCCCCTGTGGTTAAAGTCCACGTTTGTTGAACTAGTGTCTGCTCAAATAAACGGGATTATAAATCTGTGGAGATTCTCCTGGATCGGCGCTGTATGGTATTGTAGCGGCTGCTGAACAGAGATGGAGATGACTGACTGAATAACCAGGACTGGACTAACTGGACTCATGTCACTGCATGAGCATTAACTGGTTTATTGCTTTCCAATTTACAAGCCTTTTATGCACATTGATCTGCAATGCTTTTTGTTTATCACTGACAACCATCACATAGCTGGCACCCCGGCACATGGTCAACCCATTAAACAATGAGTTAACTGAAATCACTAAAGCTAAATGAAAACACAACTTTTCTCACAATTAACATGAAACTTTTAATTCAAAGGACGCAGTTTGAAAAGTGGCAATGCAGACATTTCAAATAATTTCACAATCTAACATCATCACTATGCAATGTACAAGACACCATTGACATTTACTCGATGATAAGACTTGTCAACTGTGATTGATTACAAAACTGCAGCAAGTTTCCAGCTATGCTTCCTGATTTTTAAATGCAATACTAAGATGCAGGGAGACGGGACAGGCCTGGAATAATTGTACAAGTATATTGCATATTCCAAAAAGTCATTATTAAAGTTGGTAAATATTGCTTGTGAAATGATAAGTTTGATATAGGTTTTTGGACCGAAATATGTCAAACCCCAGATAAAACTTTTTGACTTTGGGTCAACTTCTGAGAAAGCTTCTTACAAGGAGATAACTTTGAAAACTGCTGGATAAGTGTGTATTTGGCTGTATTTGATTAGTACCTGACTGTATACGGATTGCTAAAAATATTAGAGATATGGGCAGCTTTTTATGTGACGAGTATTCAAAACATTACTATTACAATTAACTTTAACTTCAGAGCTTCTATTTGAGTAAAGATCCAGTAAAGTAACTGCAGTTCTGCTGGAACAACAACACAAGAATACATGCGCATGTCACAGTTGTCTCATGTGCCTGTCTGTCTTTCTTCAGTCCCTCGGCACCACACCAAAGTAATTTGTCACCTGTATGTTAGATTATGATAGAAGATGATAGTGTGTCTTTGTCAACCGCCTTAGTAATCATACAGTATAACCACCTTATCTGTATGTCTGACAGCATGGTCAGATTCATCGGAAACAAGCCAGGCCTGCAACATGCTATAGTAAGAGCTTTTGCAGGTGTGTATGCGTGTAAGTGTGTGTGTGTCCCTTGGTGTGCAGGGCTGGGTCTCTTGGCAGAATTTCTAACCATGTGGAAATGATTATTGGCCCTGGCTCTTTTTTTTAAAGAGACATCAGGGAGACATGGCCAGACAAAAAGAGAAAGCATTGGACAAAAAGAAATACAAGTAAAAGGTGGATCATTGTGATGGTGCACTGAAAGCTGGATATATTAATTTAAAATCAAGGTCTGAGGGGAAGGTGTAAGGGAAGGGAGGGAATGATGGATGCTGTTTTCATGGCTCTGATTGCTTTGAGACTGTGAAATATTTGTGTATCTATGTGAGCCAGTGGAGAAGAAATAGAAGGAACAAGGTAATGAAGAACAAGGGTATGTGAGTGAATTTTTGGCTGGTATTAAGAGAAGAAAAAAAGAAAGGTACTTGGCAGACCAGTGACATGAATATTAGCCAACTCCTGTTGGCTGAAGCACATTGTGCTGAATTCTGCCCGGCCACACAGCCTATTCATCCTCGTCTCCCTCCACCCTCCTCCATAACAAGACACTCTGTGGAGCACTAATGTGTTGATATCGTCTTGTGGTCTTCTGGCTGCATGATCTCACCCACCAAGGGAGAAAGTGGGATCGACTGTAGTCTGTAGCACCAGCGCCATTGCCACTGTGATCAAGTTGATATAGTGATTTGTTTTGGTGGTCAAAGCAGCAGCAGCTTTCATTTCGGGAGGAAACCCCACAGCGGTCAGAGCGCGGCTGTGGCTTGGCGTTTCTTCCAAAAGTTCTTCATAAGCGTTGATGTGAAGTCACAAAACACATAGCCAAGTCTTTACATGGTCTGTAAGCAGTGGTAGTTTGGGTTTTTCTTCCCAGACTGGATTAAGGAAGGTCACACTGGTGGGGGAAAAAAATCGTTGTTACATTGTATGTGTGTGGTCATTGAAGGCCTGAGGTGCTGTGAGTAAAGATTTGTACTCATGTTATTCATAAATCTTGGTGTGAGGTTTGAAAAATAAGGAAGAGCTAGATATTTTCAATCCTTTGATGCTCCTTTCATCTCTTCTCCTCTTCTACATTTCTCTCCATTTTCCATCATTCTGCAGCTATTCTCTCTATTGCCTGCAGTATACCTTCACCTAAGCCAACTTTTTGTCACACAGTTTTTTTTTCTTTTTTGACAACATTGCTCTATTTATATGCAAGTCTTTTGCTGCTGCACAATCCAATCTATGTGGAGGTAGAGGAGGTCGGCTTGTTCATATTGAATTCTCAGTTGTAACTGCGTTGTACTGTAAGTTTTGATGTATGTTTGGGTGAGTATTTCTGATATTTGGGGTAGTTTTCTTTTTCTCATTTGTATTTATATGACTCTGTCCCTCAGGTTGAGCACTGGAGAGGGAGATGGAGCATGGTGTCCTGCAGGAGCGGTTTTCCCCAGTGGATCAGAATATCTCCAGGTACTCAGTTTAATTTGATTGATTTGCATGATTCGAATGTATGCTTGGATAAATTCTTAAGCATAACATTTAATTGTAAAATACTGTTTTATTATTTTTTATCGGATATAATATTCAGACAGTTTAGGTTAAGAAATGTACACATAAGAAATCAAATGAAATGTATAAAACACAAATTTATTTGGGAATGTTTGCCAGGCTCCTTTTCACTAAATTTGTAATTCTTGCTAAGCTAAGCAAATAACTGCTGACTATAGATTTTAAAAGAGATGAAGCAAATTTCCCAAAATGTCCACTTAAAACTTTAAATTCATGTTAAATCATATATCTCAGAAATCCGTGTATACATTTCCTAATCATGTGTTTTTCGTCTCCTACAGGTTGACCTGCATAAACTCCACTTCCTGGCTCTGGTTGGTACCCAGGGTCGTCATGCTGATGGGCACGGTCAGGAGTTCGCCCGCAATTATCGGCTCCGTTATTCCCGAGACGGAGTGAAATGGATGACCTGGAAGGACCGGTGGAGCCAGGAAGTAAGCAGCATGTAATTGTTTGTAGTGTATTGCAGAGGTTTGTTAGTGTGTTTCATGTGTATGCCAATGAAGGAAAGTGACAGTGTGAATGTCATTAAAACACCTTTATGTCATTTTCACAAGGAATACAGTTGAGGCTGATGTTTTCAATTTTGATAGAAAACAGGTTTATATTCTGTGGCTGTTTTTAATATAAATGGCCGTTAAATACAGATTGCTGAATTATTAATCTGGATTTGATTTATTTATTATTATTTTGGAAGTAGAGGAGTTAAGCAATGTGCCAGCTCAACTTTATCTAGAAAAGTTTCTGTTCAGGCAAAAGCAGCCCTCACTGTTTGACTTGTCAACACCATGCAATAATGTCTTACCTTGTGCACAGAGAAGCAGGTCTTTATGCTTGGTCAGTGTCCAACATTTTCTTTAGTGCACTGTGTTTTGTAACCCTCCTACATGATTGCATGGCAAGTTAGAATCCCAACTACCAATGTTGTAGAGAAAGAATCACATGGTTTGTTTTTGGTTTTCAATATATTATTTCAGAACATAAGATAAGAGAAACATTTATTCATCCCCCAACAGACAAATTAACAAGGCCATGCAACAAATATAAAAAAAAAAATTGAAAGGCAATGCAAATTTTCCAGCAAAGGCTTTCCTGACAAAGACTGCACCCCAGACTCTGTTATCTGTCAATCCTTACTCCTTTGTGTTCATTGAATTCTCTTAGATAAATATAATTTAAAGATGCATGCTGAATAATAAGTCTGAGCCTTAAGGCCAAATCCATTCAATCCTGCAGGTTACAGGGGAGACGAGCAATGTTCTGTCTGATTGAAAATGTGTATTTTTTTCCCCTCAGGTGGTGTCAGGGAATGAGAACACCTATGATGTTGTGCTGAAAGACCTGGGCCCTCCGATTGTGGCACGCATGGTGCGCTTTTTCCCCCTGGCTGACCGGGTTATGAGTGTGTGCCTTCGGGTTGAGCTCTATGGTTGTGTTTGGAACGGTAAGCATTTTGTGAAGAAGAGGAACACACACAGAGACCAGAGGATACACAGATAAAATGCGCTTTTATTTCTTTAGACTTAGATATTCATTCAGTTAGTTCATTCTGAGGCATGCCCTCCAGACCTTGATAAATCACATCACATTCTATAAGGTGATTGTGACTCGCTTATCTTTTATCCTAGATTTACTCCTTTGGCGCCAGAGGGACAGGAGGGAATTTGTAGGATGGTAATGATTACGAGTGAGCGTTTTTCGCAATACATCCCCATGCATTAATTCAAGGCGTTGCATCAAATTTATAGCCTTCGTGGGGTTCACTCAAATAAAAGAAACCACACTAGAGATGAAATGTGTTGGTCTCCATGTTTCCTGGAGCACAAGGCTGACGGGGAATTTACGACCGGCTCACCTCCTCGCCTTTCCCCATCCACCTCCCTCAGACAGCATCATGCTGCCTGTAAATCAGAGCTGTCACTGAAGCTAAAAGCTACAGTTCCCAGTTTGTGTCCTCTGGGAGAGCATCTCTGTAAAATATGATGTGACGTGGATGGTGATGCAGTGGTGCTCAGTTCATACACAAGTGAGGGATTATAGAGAATCTTGAAAATGTCAAGATGTTTGCATATTCATCGACTTATATCATCTTCATCAGATATGGCGGCTCAGTGTCTGTCCTGGGCTTATATTTGAACCCCAGCCCCTTTAAATATCTAAGTGCATAATAGCACACATAGACAGACATGTGCAAACAGAGTATTAATGAACTATGTGAAGCGTTGTATATTATGGGTAGAAGCGGGCTGTGGTCTGTGTTGCTGACGTCACCTCTGTTCTCAGGGAGTGGACTGATTAGCTGTATATTGGAGCAGAGGGTCTTGAGTTTCACTAGCTAATTGTGGCCTGGGTTCAGCAGGCCTGAGCTGCAGACCTCTTTGTTTGTTTTACTATTTAAAAAAACCCATCTGTAACCGTTTTTCAGCAGTGATTATTATAAAATGTTGGCTCCCTGTACCTGTGGCTTCGCACAATGACAAATATTAAAACAATTATAAAAAGCAGCTTGTGCATCTTTCTCTTTAATTTTAAATTGTAAAGTGCATTTTCTATATCAACAATAGCATGAATGATACAAATTTGTTTTTTCATTCTTATGTCTCACAGATGGGTTGAAAGATTACACAGCTCCAGTGGGTCACGTCATGCACCTGTCTGGCATGCCTATCTATCTAAATGACTCCACTTATGATGGAAGCACTGAGCAAGGGTAAGATATAAAAGACACTCTTTTTGTTTGCGTTTAACTTTTTCATTTCAATGTTTGAGTAAGCATTCACGTCTAATCCTCTGAGTTGTCCAATTTGAAACAACCTCACCTCTAAATTGTAACTGTTTTGTTCAATAAAATCAAAATAAAGATTCACAAGAATGACGGTCAACAATGTGAGGGGCTCAATCAGTGGAATACCAAAGATTCTCTGCAGTGCTGGTCACATCTGTTTGCACTGAAGTGTGGTATAAGCCAAAACCTTTGTTGAAAATGTATTCTGGTGTCCACCTAATCAAAAGGGAATGACATTGTTTTCTTTAAGTTGCTAAGGGATTTGAGGCATGTTTCCTGACTATAATGTTTTGGCAGGGAGCAACGGAGGAATTGGGAGGGTTGCAAAAGGTCCACACTTACATGTGCTGTGTGGTTAATGGGGCTGAAATGTTTTGCTAGTGGTTGAGCTAACACTTTTGATGTAATCCAGACGTATTGTAGCAGATGTGTGTGAGAGAATGAGGTCCTTGGTAAGGGTTTGGAAACCATGTTGAGTTGCTTTTTTTCAGTTCAGTTGTGCGTTTCTGTGGGAGAGAGAGGAATAGGAAAACCGATGTATGGGTGTAACTGGGTGTGAGAATATATGTACTAGCATTTTTGCACGTGTATCTATAAGCTTTTTGATGCATCCCTGCAGTACAAGTGTTCATAAATAGAAAGTGACTTACAGCCCACAGCATTCATCATTATTTCTGCACAGAGCTACATGTAAAAACCCTGTTGTGTGTGTTTGTGTACAGGATGCAGTTTGGAGGCCTGGGTCAGCTCTGTGATGGCGTCCTGGGAGGAGACGACTTCATTCAAACCAAGGAGCTGAGGGTGTGGCCTGGGTATGACTACCTGGGCTGGAGCCGGGAAGCCCTCGGGCAAGGCAGCGTGGATATCGAGTTCCACTTTGAGAAACCGCGTGTCTTCCACAAAATGCAGGTTGGCAGAGAAAGTTTGGCTTGTAAAATAGTGTTGTTGTGTGAAGCAGAATATGAGAGGGTTACGCAGGACATTGTTATCCTGCTGGTATCTCAGACAGCACGGGGCAGCCTGTAAATCAGAGCTGTCATCAGGGCTAAAAGCTGCAGTTCCTGGTCAGTGTCTGCAGGGAGACCATCTGTGTAAACTATGCTTTGATGTGAATAATGAGGCATTGCAAGCCATAGATTATAAAAAGTCGACATAAGATCAAGTTTTACACATTCAGTTTCTTATTGAATCTCATTTGTTATTAGGTGGCTGTAAAGTGTCTTTATTGTGTTAATGTGTCAGAGGGTCATGCAGGTGAACTGTAATTTAAGAGAAATGTCTTTGTGGCTGAGTGGTTAATTATAAATGCAGTGTCCCTGATCTGATTCTGGCCAAGGGCAGTGGTTAAAAGTCATGTCCCTCTCTTCCATTTTTTTTCTGTCTGTGTATGAAAAGGTTCAACACACTGGTTTAAAACATCAGTATACATAGTTAGTTTAAAAAAAAAAAGGAGGAAGGGTGAATTAGCTTTTTGTATGTGAAGACAAGTGTGCAGACGAAGAACAGTTTATTAATAAATTCATTGATTTAGGTAATTGATTATCCCATTAGTACAAGACAAGGATGTCATTGTGATAATGTCTAGACATTAGGCCGGCTTTTGTTTTTTTTCATTTGATGTTGCCCGACCTCTAAAAGAAACTCTAACAGTAGGGTTGTGTTTGCTTCTTTTAAACAACAATGACTTTGTTCTCCAGAAACAAGCATTTTGACTGGAATAGCTCCGCTGCCATTTAATTAGTTTTAATGTGCCATTGTTTATCATGGGACAGTGCATTTGAGCACGCCTTCTGGGTGCCACTGAGTTTCATCACAGTCTGTTTGTGCGTCTGTGTGGCTTTTGGGGTTAGTTTGTGGAGCAACAAGAGTGGATGAGAATATGAAGCAAGCCAGTTTGAGTTATAACTGTGTTGTCTCTTTGGACGTGGGGAGGAATGTCGGTTTGGGTGGGATTCACCCTATACATGTGCATATTTAACAGCCTGAATCCCCAGTCACTGTTATAAACTGATACGTAAGTTGAGGTTTTGGTTTTGACTGAGATCCAAGCTTTCAGCATATTCCCTTTGCCCTCTTTCCCCTCACATATTCATGATTATTCTAGTGTTTATCAGTTACCTTTAAAAGTTTTCCCAGCGGTAACCCTCGTGTTTTTCCTAGATTTATCCTGTGTTTCCTGTCTTTTCCCAAGAGGTTTTCCCACACTAACCTCAGCTGACATATGCTGTTATGTTAGCCTGGCGGAGCGGATATGTCAGACACAGGTCAAACAAATAAAGAGCGGCAACCTGAACCTAATTTTGGCTTGACTTGACTCTGTAGTTCCTTAACCTACACCTAATCACTCCCCAAAGGGAAATGTGCCCTTTGACTTTTTTGTCGTTCATAACCTAAACTTCCTCTTTTAAAGACTGGAGATAATCGTCTGATTAGATTTTGGAAATCATGTTCAACATTTCTTTGCAAGCGCACACTGAAGACAGTGCAAAAGAAGTCATAGGGAGCTCGTAGTGTAGGTTAGATTTATGAGAAAACAAGTCACATAATGAATGCAATGTTATTGTCTCAAACCAAGCTTTATGCATGTCATTGGAGCATTAATCCCTAAATGAGTGCTAAATGACCTTGGTTCTGCTGACTTATTAGACCCCCCACCACTTTCACAAAGATACAGTACACAACCCCTCTCCTCATTTTGTCCCCTTGAAGATCTAATCCATTACACGTCAACCTAGCATCTGGTGCAGCTGTTCTCCCTGCGCCTCATGTGTCTTTTATTAACATATGGATTAGATTAGAGCGGCTGGCCTCGCAGTAAGTGTGAGGTTAATAGCTGACCTGTAAGAACAGCTCTAACACTACCCCTTCTCCCCCACCCTCTCCTCTTTAATTTTCTATCTCTCACATCTACAGTATAGATTTGACCTCTGTCTCTCTCATTTAAAAGCCCTCCATCTTCCTCCATACACATTTTGTTCCTCCATCCAGCAACAATGACGTCTTGTATATTAGCTCAGCTTTTATGGATACCCTCCTCTTTGGCCTTTCCTTGCTTGTAAAGTTGGGAAAGCTATATAATCTGCTCACCTTCTTCAGTTTTCTGTCATACATGTTTCATCCTTTTTTTCTCTTCTTTGTTCTAATTTTCTACATTTTTAGTCCTACTCAGCTTTAACTTGAGCCAAAGCAATTTCGGGTTGAACAGGATGAGAATGTCTCATTAATTGCTTTGTTTTAATTGAACCTCCAGCATCTCCATGAATAATAAATGGCCCAACTTTCAAGCTAATTTAGAGGTGTGGGTAGTTAAAGGATTGTCCAATATCTCTTCAACTGCCCTCTTTCTGTTCCTTTGTCTTCTTATACGTTTTCCTCATTCATCTAGGTGCACAGTAACAACCGCCATACCCAAGGTGTGCGAGTCTTCAGCAAGGTCGAGTGTCTTTTTAAACCTAACATCCTCCAGCCTTGGTCTTCTCCTGCCCTCACTCTGCCTGTGCCCCTCGAGGACCTTAAGGACCCCTCCTCACGACCCATCTCCCTCCCGCTGGGGGCCCGGCCGGCTCAGATCCTGCGCTGCAAATTCTTCTTTGCTGACCAATGGCTGCTCATCAGCGAGATATCCTTCCTCTCTGGTAGGAAGAAGTGTTAAAGTTGTATGTAATTTTTTCTCCCACTCTAACAGGCAGTTTTTCTTCCATTGTGGCTTTGCACTTGCGCCAGACATGTCCTACAGTAGCAACTAAGTCTGGCACCGTCCAGGAGAGATTTGGCTTAGTCAAAACAATAGATACATTAGACAGCAGTGACAGGAGAAGAAATACCTGAAAAAGACTTCTGTACTGTGGGTGGAAGTCTGATCAGTACTCTTTAAATGCTAAAAGTAATGAATTAAGAGACGTTAAATCTAATGAGCTTGTTTTGTTCCCTCACTGTGACATCATCAGAATTAAGTTTTTGCCCTGGCTGTGTGCTGTTAATTGGTTGAAGGTATCAGCATTTTTTACAGTCAAGGACCATTTGCCATCTCTGGAGGGGATTCAGCAGAAAAATAATGCTTTTGTGCCCAAAACGCAGTTTGTGAAGAAAACACAACAAGGGAAAGAAGCAGAAAAGTTAAACTAAGCATTTTAGAAATAAGCAGACCTACTGTGAATGTAGATGTTGCATCAGTTGTTATTAATAGTCTTTTTATTCTAATTCTAGAAGTTGACCAGCATCAGAGTCAGTCCACACTTTTTTCAATTAACCACCCATGCATCAAAAAGACAGGGGCTTTCAATATCTTTCTCGAAGATGGGTTGCCTATCTGATAGAAAGTCAGATGTGGGACCCCTCTGCTGCTCTCCACCTGAGATTGCTTTGACTAATTAAACTGTCCCCTTGACTCAAATACTCTTATCAGGTGTGGCGTGATAAGAATCAGTGAAGTGCTCGATAATCTCATCAGACTCTGGAGGCTGAAATGTTTGTTTTGTCTTGTGTTGAGCGGTCTGGCATTTTGTGGTTGCTGCTGGACTCCGGCCAGATTCCGTCCTGCTTTAAGGGTCCTGTCATTGGCTGCCAAATGATTTAATATGAGCCGATCTGACTTTCATTTGGTACTCTGGTAACAGAACGTGGTTGTTTGTATTTTTGCAACATCTGCACCTGGTTGACGAGCTTTACATAAGTAAAAAAATCAGCTCATTTTGCAAGTTTAAACCTTAAGAGCAAAGGTTAGTTGGCCACTTAACAGTAACCATTTGTCATTACACAATCATTCAGATTAGTCAACAAGGAATGGATGAATTCCCAGTCAAAAACAACGTTATTAACATAATCGCTAGGGAAGAATATTGTTTCTCTGGAAACACAACCAGCTGTGACCACAACCCACTGTTTCCCAACAGCGAAGGACAAGCTGACGGTGTGAGCTGCCATATAGAAACCCCCTAAACATATCAAACATGATCCATTTTGATCAAATTTTCTCTTCCTCTGTCGATCCAGAGCCGTTTGAGGAAGATGCAACAGAAAAGGGTTCATTTCCTCCTAATCTCCCAAAGATTCCGACCACCACTTCTTCTTCTTCTCTTCTCAACCACACCTCCTCCTCTACCACATCAGGTCGCAGTTCCTCCAACACCACCGCCGACCCATCTGGTGAGTCCTCTTCACTACACAGCCCCGTGTCTTCCTGTCTTCACCATCTTTCTTTCCATCAAACATCCTTTCTAAGTTTTCACTCTCTCATCACCTACCATACTGCTTCATCTACATCTCCCCCTGCTCTCTCTTCTTATTCCCCTGATCTCTCCTTCAGCCCTTCCGACTCTTCTCTCAAGTTGTGATGAGTGTGAGCATGTCGGCAGTGTGTCTAAGCCGTGTGTCTAAAGCATAGCCAAAGGCAGGCGGTGCCAAAGGAGGCCCATATCTGTGAAGCAGTCCTATTTATCACAAGCTCTGAAATCCTTTGGCGTTACACCAACTTTTCCTTGATGTAAAGTCGACACTGAATGTTTATCTTATGGATTTAATTGTACATAAAGCAGGAAAGATCTACCTAAAATGAGGAATTCTTGGTGTGAACTCTATGGGATTTTCATAAATATGGATTAACGGCTGTCCATGATTTCCTCTCATCACCCTCTTCGGAGTCTTCTTCACCACTTCTCTTCTCACACATTCCCTCTTTGTCCATCCCTCGCTCCTCCAGAACCCCCCACCACCACCAACCTTTTCATGACGGACACCACTGGTAACTGGACGCTGTCAGGTGAGAGAGCAAAAAAAAGAGGAAGGGAGGATGAACCAAGGGACAGGAGCTAGTCACATCTGCTCTGGCCCTCCTCCAGTATCTTAAAACTGTCCCTCTGCTGAGAATAAAGTGTAATGAAGGAGGGATTACAGGGGCAGGCTTTGGCACTGTACTCTGTCCCCTGGGTTCTAAGATATACAGCTGTATGGAAAACACTAACTGAGATGTAGTGCATTATATATATGTACAATAACAACTCTCTTCCTGCGGTCTCACTAGCTGCATGGTATTTTCAGGGTCTCTGTTGTACACTGTTAGACAATAACAGGCCTTTTAAAAAGATGGAAATGTTTTATTGTGGCGTGTTTGCTGCTTTGTCCTTGTTACTGGCTGCGGTTGGACGGCTTTGTTTGGGTTTATTTATTACGTGCATGGTGTTGAACCGAGAGAAAGGGGGTGTTCTCTGTTCTAACAGTGCCTTGTGTAAATCTTTGGTTTTCCTGTGTGAGGGCATACATGCACATAAAAGCATCATGTATGTGTGGTATGTGTGTCTGTTTCTGATCTCTTCAACTGAGTTATTTGTTCCAAACCATCACTGTAAAAGTGTTTGTGAAGAGTTTGTTTATGAGTGAAATTTACACCAAACTATTCAGAGGAAACCTAACATGGTTTTATCCCTCAGACAAATAACATGCTGCATTTAATCTTCAAAGGAGTCAAAATATCTGTAATTTGGATAAATAGTTGACTACAAAGCTTCCGAGAAGATAACAGTGTTCGCATTGTGTTCACATAACAGCGGGCTCTGAGAAGCCCTGTGGTATGAGTGGGCATATTGGATACATACTCAAACAGACAATCCCCATCAGATGTGTTCATAAGCCTGCTGAAGCGTTGCTGGTGTGCGTGACCCCACAGCGAGTGCGTGACTGTGCTGAAAGAGCCAAAGCTCTCAGACTGAACAGTGATCATGTCAGCCTGTGGTCGCACACATACACAAAAAGGAATCCACCCACATAACACCAAACTCATAAATAACAGCAGGTTTCACATGTACAATCAAATGTATTAATACTAACATCAAATTTCCTTCTCTAGATCCAGAATTTGCTGCACAGACTCCGAGGGCAGGACTTCCCGTAGCCAAGGATGACAGCAGTAATACAGCTATATTGATTGGCTGCCTGGTGGGCATCATTCTTCTGCTGTTGGCTGTGATTGCTGTCATTCTGTGGAGGCAGTACTGGAAAAAGATACTGGGCAAAGTGAGTCAAGATGAAGGTCACATGCAATGACTTTGTTTAATTTTTAGGCCGTCTTTTTTATGTGCAGTTTGGCTGTAAATTAACTTTACCTGCAGGTTTCTCAAGTAAATGTTTCGCAGCCTTTAAGAGTCAGTTCACATCTTTTGTTTTCGCCCCTTGTGGTATCTAGTTTTAGCTTTATTATTTACTTCTAACATCTATCGCAGAGGTTTCTGTAACTCCTCTCGAGCATTAAAGATTAGGTTCATTAAAAAAAAAACTTGTTGCTTTTGCCAAAACAGTGGTCTCTCTAGAGAACCTATAGATTTTCTGTTTAGAGGGTTTATTACTTCCTACAATATACATAACACAGTGAGAAAAAGATTTATTGGACTGACTTGTCCTTTTAACCAAGTTAAAATGATTGATTGCAGGCAGAGATAACTCCTGCCAGTTTTTGGCAGCTTAGCTCTCAATCTCCATCTGGATGTTTTATGGGAATCCTTTTACATTAACTTCTAATTGTTCAAAGATTAGTGGGTATTTTCACTGATCGATCCCCATCTGCTAAAGGGATTTAAATCACTGATGAATTTAAACTCAGATGCCAGCTTATGAGGTTTTCCTAGTTAGCACAAATGTAGTCTAATACAGAAATCCTCTAATTACGCTTACCTTCATGAATCATGTTGAAAAAAAAAAGATTTCAGTGGTAGTTTGTGTCTCCTTTAAATTGTGTTATGATATATTAAAAGCTGTAGGTCCTTATATACAAATTACTTACCATCAATGATAGAAATATATCAGACTAGTTATATAAGTTGAATACATTCTTCTCTAAAACTAGACATATTATATTATACTGCATGGGTTTTATCCAGTTGTACCCATAAAACTGGCAACTGAGTTTGTATAACCTAAATTCATTCTCTGCCCTTCCAGGCTCAGGGAAGTCTTTCCAGTGATGAGCTGCGGGTTCACCTGTCAGTCCCGTCAGATAACGTTGTCATCAACAACACACACAGCTACTCGAGCCGCTACCAACGCATCCACACATTCCCTGATGACCGCGACCATGACAGAGAGGGAGAAGGAGAGTACCAAGAACCAAGCGCTCTGCTACGGCCAAGGGATCAGAGAGACAGCACAGGTAAGTTATACAAGCCCAGTTCTTCTTTTTTAAACTTTGTTTAACCAGGAGAAAACTCATTCAGATAAAATACTGTATGTCTTTTTGCCGAGAGTTTCCTGGTGGAGACATGCAGCAGCACTGTTAACAAAGTTTCTGACAAACATTGAGAAGTCATCCAAACAAACATAGTGTTAAATACATGAATACATTAAAAGACATGAAATAAACACGTAAAACAGCAATCAAAAATATCTTAGGTAGAACATATACAGCCAGATGTGCCTGCCTCCAAGTGATTAACTTTAAAAGCATCCTGAACCTAGTTCATGAAGTACAGATCTTTTTGTAATGTGCTCCAAGTAAAGGGAGCAGCAAACTTAAACACCTTAATTCACACAAGAATAGGTGTTGGGACTTTTGAGATTGTAAGTCCCCATAATTTTCTGACTGATGTAGGTTAGACAGTATAAAGGAAGCAAACCCAGGATAGACTTTAAAATATGAGAAGGCCAGTGTTTTCAAGGTTACGTTTGGACAAAGACGACCATCCAACATGGACATACTGGAGTGATGAGGGCTTTAAATTTAGTGAGGAACCTCAAAGCTCCATGATCTATGGTGTCCAGTGCATGTAAGCTTTGTGATGAGACGTCGTTTATTAGACATCTTCATAGTCCTTTATAGCGTGACAACATACCACATGTTAAATACATGTTGGCAGAGATTGATGCATAGTCAGCCACACACAAGTGGCATGGAGAGAATGGATAATGAAAAACAATGAGACATTCCACATGTAAAGAATTGTATTTTCTACAAACATGTATGTGGTTTGTATGGATGGCTTCATGTCTGTGTTCATGATTTTGCAACCTCCATTTGTTATTAGTACCAATAAGCCAGCCGCAGGAGAAAAATGTGGCATGCGTATCAAGCAAACTGTGGTGTAATGATATATTTCACCACACCAAACAAAAGTAAATCAAACTAAGCATCCCGCAAGGAAGACTGCCACAAAAAAAGATGCACGGCACAGAGGGGGCACAAAAGAGCTATTGTTCTAAGAAAAGAGAAGAAAGAGAGAAGAGAGAAGAGGGAAGAGAAAAAAAGCAGTAAAGAAAGTAAAAGCATTCCTTCACTTGCATTACACAACAGGAGGGGCTGCATGTCGTTTTTTACAAGGCGCCTGTGAGTTTGAAATAACATGTGTAACAGAAACATTATTTTATCCAGTGGTTTTTGTTATGTTTGGTTGTGTGTAACTATGCCTGTTCTTGCTTTGCTCTTTTGTTCGCCATGTGTCATTGCAACCCTTCTCCTTCCATGTATCATAATGGATTTGCTAACATGCTAATGGTTGTTGATGTGTTTTTTCTTTGTATGTTTTTTTGTGTCTTGTGCAACCTTTGTATGATCCAAACCATTACTCCTTTGTTTATCCCGCCTCGTCCTGTGTGTGCGTGTTTGTGTGTGTTTATGTGTGCCAGTCTTGCTGTTAAAAAACAACCCAGCATATGACCTGCTCATGTCAGATCACAGAAAAGGTGCAAGATCCCTGGTAGTCCCCAGCACCTCTCAGGCTCAGGAAAAGAGCCTCAATGTGCCTCAGGGTAAGCAACCTTAGACTGAGCCTGCACAGTCAGGAGAGGACCCCACCTCTCTTGTTTACTACCTTTCTGTCAAGGGTTTGGTAATTAGAAGAGCAGTTATATGATTAATCTATTTTGCATGTGTCTAACACAATCATCCACCTTATTACTTGCATAATTTGTCACTCACTACTCAACATACTTTGTTTGAAGGGATTGTTTGGTATTCGGGGAATTGTACATTTAAACTTCTGTGTTGTCATACTTGCAGCATGGTTCTGTTGATAGAAAATGTGTGTGTTGGTCCATTGTAACAACCCCCAGTGTTGAAAAAAGAAGCCAATCTACAAAAAACTGCAGTTTCTCAAGTGTCCACTAGAGGCCTACTCCAATAACCAAGACATTCCATGTAAAATCGCCAGTTTTAACAGATACAAACATGTTTACAGCTTGGTAAAAAAACACAGTTATGGTCACCATAGCTATAATCTGTACCAGGGGTGATTTGTTTTATACTTCACTGTTTTGTTTATGTTAAGGCTAAGAGTTTTGCATAATTAGGCATAATTAGTGGTTTGGCTGATTTGACTGACAGGAAGGTGCATTATAGCTGTTAGCCAGGAGGCTAGGCTTCACTTCACAAAACTTCACAAACTGTGTTTGTGTTGTTTTCATTGTTTGGAATATGCCAGTTAAATGATGAGCTAGACAGGCATGTTTCAGCAAACAAGGTATTCAATCAGCCCCGCCTAAACGCTACCTCTTTGCCTGATTTCGATTAGTTGGAAGTAGTTGGAGTCAGTTTCCAATATGGTGACTGTTACATGGGCTTCGTAACGCTTCTTCAGACACCCATGGATGACATCACTGAGACAATGTCCATGTTTTATCAAGTTTAGACTTTTAACAAGACCATAGACTTTCTATTTAGAAGTGGATGTAGCCACCATAACTTCACCCATTAGTGTATGAACCACAGCTTTGACACCTCAAAGTTGTCTCCTTGTCTTTGTTTTTGGACCCAGAAGTTATAACAACTGTGAACAAGCATTTATGTCTATATCTGTGTTGACAGGGTGAAGTGGTAGTGACACAATGAATGTAGTTCTGTTTTGAAGAAGACTCCAAACTAACAATGGAGAGGCAAATCTTTTGGAAAATGTTTGCTGAGGCAATAGAGCAAATGAGAAGTTTGGTCATTTTCCCATCTGTGCCCATACTACTGGACTTATTTTTTGATATCAGTGAAGTCACCCCTGCTGGTCATTCGAAGCAACACAGTTTTAAGGCACTTGTGTATTGGCCCCACTTTTGAAAACAAAGCTTCAACTATTATTTACAGTATGTGGTCAACACTACAATAATACTTGTCATATACCACCATCATGTAAAAGATTTCAATTATTCAGTGACATTTGCTCGCACAACATCTATAAAATCATTCATGGGTCCAAGAGGATGTTTCCCTACTTTTATGATTCCCTGTTTTTTTTAAGGTGCTTAAAGAGCTGCATGCATAGCTGTAGACCATCTTAGCGTCTTTAAAAAAAACAAAACAAATTAGAACATTTCAACTTATGGTAAGGGTTCAGCACATGCCTGGTGTGTGGGTATGTGTTGCATATTTTTCTAAACCGCATAAATCTGAATAGTAACATTAAAATTCAGTATTCACGTCATGGGCTGTGGTGGTGCGTGCACTGAAGCAGAGCCGAAAGTTTCTTATCTCAGTTATTATGATTGTAACAAAGCTATAACACTTAGTATTCAACAGCAACTCTCCCCACAAGTTTTTGACTTATGTGGGCTGTCAGACCCTCATGGAAGCTGATAGTAATGAATATTAAGCTGTTTAACCTTGATTAAATTAAACCTCTGAGAGGTTTTTTATCAGCAAGAACGACAATAGATTCTAATTGTGTTTAAAACCAGATTAGACCACTACAATTTCCAAGAAATGCTGATTCTGAAGCAAAACTCTGTTCATTGTATTAACTCAGTTTGATAACCTGCATCGCAATCAAAAGAAAACCAGAATTTATGCACAAAGAAAAATGACTGCAAGGCAGATCAGCAGCATATGTGTGTGTAGCCAAGGTCTTTCAGTTGTCCCCAACCTTTCCAACGATCGATGATAAATGGCCGTTTATGGATACAAATAATAAATCCTGTGACAAATTTTAACCTTCACTTTGAATTTACTCCACTAATTTGCCTTCCTCCTCATATTATAGTTTTATTGTTTTGTCCTTTATTTTATTACTCAAGATTTTATATTCATTCTCCACTTTCAGCCTTCATTGTCAGTACAGAACCATGTGACATTTTTACTGTTGTACAAAAAGTTTTGGATTTCTTTGTAAAAGGAAATTTACCGTAATTCAAACTGTCCCTTTAAAACAAGTTGTTTGATTACTTTTCTTAATACAGTATGTGATAGTATCTGATTTATTCACTCAGGCTGTCTGAAGTCAAAACAAAGCTGTATATATTCACTCACTTCCTTCAAAGTTGTCTCTTCATTTCATCCACCCTGTCTGTCTTCTCCTCCTCCCTGCAGCATGTGGTTTGGACTTGGACATGGAGAAAGGTTTCCCTCCAACTCAAGAAGAGCCTCCTCCCTATCCTGGCTCCCCTCCCTACCCCTCCCTGTCTCCTCCTGTGTCTCCCCCGCTACCTCCCAGTGTTCCTCACTATGCTGAGGCAGACATTGTGAGCCTGCAGGGTGTCAGTGGGAACAACACCTATGCCGTGCCTGCCTTGGCCTCCTCGAGCCCTGGGGCTGATGCCACTCCGCTGCCAGAGCTGCCACGGCAATTTCTCATTTTCAAGGAGAAACTTGGAGAGGGACAGTTTGGAGAGGTGAATTATACGCCCCCTACAAAATATATGTTTGGGCTGAAGTCTGATTTAACAATATCTGTATCTGTGTTTATTTATTTGGTGATAGGTTCACCTGTGTGAAATCGAGAGCCCTCAGGACCTTCCCAACCTGGAGTTCCCCTTCAATGTTAGAAAAGGTCGCCCTCTACTGGTGGCAGTGAAGATACTGCGCCCGGACGCCTCTAAGAATGCCAGGTCTGTAATTTCATACACAGCTGAGCCTGGCTTCAGTGTGGTTCACAGTTTTTCTTTTCACTGTTACAGCTTATCTCCAATGTGCTCATGGAACTGCAGCGCTCCCACTGGTCATTTACATTTTAGGACAAGGGGTAGAGTGAGATGTTAATGCCTGACGCAGGAATAAGAAAGCTTGGTAGACACTGCTGTAAAGTCAGTTAGTATCAGGAATTGTTATTGAAAGTAATTTTTGGGTAATTAGACATTAAGCAAATGTAATGTTTTAGTTGTTCTTTTTTTTGCAATTTGAAATTTTATTGGCTTTTAAAAAGCTTCTCAGGTAATATTTGACCTCTAAAGAAGCAGAATGTGAACATCAGAATCAATTAAATCCTCCAGCCTTAAAATAAAATACAACAAATTCCTTGTAGCGTATGTGTTGTTTACAACTACCTCACATCACACTCACATATAAAATCTTCAGCAGCACGGCAGAGATTGAAGCCCAGATTCAGTCCCTTTAGCGCTTCAGAAAAAAACAAACAAATCAGGGCCTCTGTGGTTCTCTGGATGTTTGACTCCATTCACCACCTTCTTGTTTGCTTTTGCTCTGCACTATTTTGCACTAGGAAGAAAAACCCAGCTTGTTTAAACTGAAGTGCTGGGAGTGCTGGGTGGTTAGTGAGAGACTGAGCAAAGACTGACCTGCAAAACAAATCAATGAAGTGAAAGGCGAGCAGAGTCTCAGACTGTGGGATTGATTCTTAAGGGCGTCAGCAACCTTCTCACTTGACTGAGTGGTAACATCAAAAAAGCTGCAAAATGACATTAATTATTTTTATGTCATGGCTAAGAAGGAACTTAGTTCTTCATATTAGACATTTAGTTATCCCTTCTTTTCTATATCTATTCTAAATCTAACAGTTTTCTCATATTTCTTCTCTGATCATTTCACTCTTCCTTAATGACCTGATAGGAACGACTTCCTGAAAGAGGTGAAGATCCTTTCTCGCCTGAAGGACCCGAACATCATCCGTCTACTGGGAGTGTGTGTGAGCAGCGATCCTCTATGCATGGTCACAGAGTACATGGAGTGTGGAGACTTGAACCAATATCTGTCTCACCGAGTGCTTCTAGACAAGACAGGGCCTTCACACAGCGCGCCAACCATCAGGTAAATCAAAACTTTACTTTATAACAGTTAAAAGGAAACATACAGTAACAGTTTTGATATATTTATCATCCGCTCCATTTGTTAACTTTTTCCCTCAGTTACCCAGCACTCATCTCCATGGCCAGCCAGATTGCATCAGGAATGAAGTTCCTCTCCTCCCTGAACTTTGTGCACCGGGATCTGGCTACCCGCAACTCTCTGGTCGGGGGTGATAAGGGCGAGAGCGGAGAGGATCCGAGTGGTGAACGTCACATCAAGATAGCTGACTTTGGCATGAGCAGGAACTTGTATGCTGGCGATTACTACAGGATCCAGGGTAGAGCTGTGCTGCCAATACGCTGGATGGCCTGGGAGTGTATACTCATGGTGAGAGCACAGACACGAGTGTGTTTGCATCTGATCGTGTGTGAGGGTTGGGCGTTTATATTTACTGATCAGAATCAAATTTAGCGTGTTAATGCAGGAGTTTTTAGGTATTCAAGAAATTGGTGAACTTTGAATTGAAAATCTATATCTATTGTACCAAAGCTTTTTTTAATAATTAGTACATTTTTGTCTAATTCAAATATTTATAGGTCACTGAAAAGCTTTTAAATAAGATTAATTGTAAGAACAACACAAACAGGTGGAGAATATTGTACATGAAGACAAGTTGAATCATTAATAATGGTGTACTCTTACTTAAAAAGCTAGTAAACATATAATCCCTTACCATTTGTCACCCTGTCATAAGGATTCGCATCATGAATGTGATACAGATGGAGAGCATGCTGATGAATACAAAGGTTTTTATTTTGTGTTTTTGTGTTTCACAGGGAAAGTTCACCACAGCAAGTGATGTGTGGGCATTCGGGGTCACTCTGTGGGAGATGCTGAGTGTTTGTCAGGAGCAGCCGTACTCCAACCTCACAGACGAACAAGTCATCGACAACGCTGGCGAGTTCTTCAGAGACCAGGGCAGACAGGTGAGACACAGAGAAAATTAATGGGTTTTAAAATTTGCTTTTGTTTTTTTTAGCATTGAACTTATTTGTGAAACAAAAATTGAACAAAAAAAGGTATTAAATGTATATAAAAGTTTTCTTTCTCTGTCTTTCAGGTGTATCTGAGCAAGCCGGCTGTGTGTCCTCAGGGTCTCTATGAGCTCATGTTGAGCTGCTGGAACAGAGACTGCAAGCTCCGTCCATCCTTCGCCTACATCCACTCTTTCCTCACTGAGGACGCCATGAACATGGTGTGAGGAGAGTTGCACAACAAGGAGAAAGAAAACACTATGGAGGGGGAAATGGCTGGCATGTTTGTGCATCTTTGCTACAGAGGGAGGGTGTGGTGGAGGTGCTGCAGAGCAGAGCAAAGGGAGAGTGGGTTGCTTGCTTTTATATTTGTACTTTTTTTGGGTGGATGGGGCTGAGACACCGCTGGTTCGGTTTATTTCCACATCAGACCCTTACCCCAAAGCCAAAAGTGAGCTTTTGATGGGCAACAGTCCGAGCTACATTTCACAGAGGTTGGTGGTGGGCGCAGTCTGCATAGGAACTTTCTCTCTACTCAGATACTTAACATGTAAGGAGTGTTTATGTGACTGATGACACAAGAGATGTAGAGGTTAAACATCAGAAAATAATTCAAATAACAACCATAGCAAGCTAGGAAATGAAGAGTTTTTAAGTTTTATGACTTTTACATATTCATAATCTCAAAGACTATACACAGGGTAACAGGTGAAGGTACACAACATACAACTTCTGTCCACTAAACACCCAAAGTTAACTAATTAAAGTTAATGCCCAGTGATCGTCTTAGTATTTATAGTACACAAATCCTGCTGTACACATTTGAATCGGTGTCATCCACTCAGATTCATCCAAAGGTCAGATCTTTTAGCCCACGAGACACAAAATTATTATAATCAGCTGAAAGTCTTTGATACGACCTTCAGACATCTGTGCTGACTGTTTCCCACATCCAAAGCTTCAACTCAAAGTTATCGTGGACTAATGTGAAATAACCCTGACCAGACAACAGCAGCCCCCCTTCTGTATGTTTGGTCTAAATAACCAACCCCCTCTGAAGTCGAAAAGTCAGAGCCCCATCTCTGAGCCACAGACAGAAGAAAATAATGCCAAATGGACTTCTCAAACCTGACAACAATGGTACAGAAAAGAAGAGTCTGCTGCTGCCACTGAGATGTGACCCGCTAACTGGAACATCTTTTCCAAGCAGAGACAACAATGCCAGCTGGAGCAGCGGACACAAAGTCTTCATATGAGTTTGCTCGGGTGTTTTGGGCAATTGTTTCGTGTCTGACTGTGATCGAGACACAAAGGATAGAGGTAAAATTCCAAAACCAGCTGCACTTTAAATCCTACATGCACATCTCTAGCAACGACAAAACTCTTCTCTGTGAGGGGCGTGAGATGATTCATGTTGACTTGGATTCAAATGTTTCAAACCTGCAAAAATGTCAAATATTTTCAAGGAGAGATCAAATTCAGGACAGTCTTTCTGCCTTTCTCTCAAGAGGCCAAAACAATAAGATGTAAAATATTATTTTAAAACATGGATTGGCACCATCAGTTCATCTCATATTAAATGTATGAAAACATTTTGTTTCGTTTGTTGAGACATGTTTCCTCATCAAATCAGCTTTTGCTCATCCATACACATTACCATAACAAAACATGCAGTTATGGTATTTGAGTCCTGATTTGAGTGTGAATACCATTAACTTCTGTATTATCCGGTGTAAGTACATTAAGCTGACTGCGGTAGAATCAATCATCTACCTTACTGATTGTTTAGCACTGTAAATCAGTCCTGAGATGATCATCAAGTAATACATGTTTACTGATTGTGAATGGTCCTGACAACTAAGTCATTTTGATACACTGTAGTTCAACTAAACCCATATTTTTATATATATACTGTATGTATTTTGTCCTTAGTGTCTCTGAACTTGATCATTATAGTATGTACATATTTTAAGGACAGAAGTGTCATTTCCTTTACCAATATATGGAAAACTCTTTGTTACATTTGGGGTCTTCTGTATCTCTGTAGAACGCTTGCTACCTTGATGCTATTGTAATTCATTGTCTATTTTTGTAGATGTTTTAATAAAGTAAACCTTTTCAGATATACCAGGATCAATCAATCATTATTTGTATAGCTCCAATTCATAACAAGTGTCATCTTGAGGCACGTTACAAAAGCGCAGGTTAAAGACCTTACTCATAGTTAAGTAAATAGGATAAGATGCAGGAAGGATTTCTCCTTTTTATTACTCGCGTTCCTGTTGTCCACACTTCCTTTCAGTTGAGGTGGAGGTCGGAGCAGGCCGTGCATGGCGGTGGCTGTAGGACGACACGGTCCGATGAGGTGGTTGGGCGTCTGGGACGTCGGTTGGTGGTAGTGCCAGATCACCTCGCTGAAGGTCGGGGGAGCTCAGTCTACTCGAGAGTCCAGCCTCTGCTGCCGGGACAAGGCCACCTGGACTTCTAACACACTGACACACAAGATGTGCTCTGGGTGTGACATTAATTTCACTGTCAGCAATCATACAGATAGTGTTGCATTTACTGTTAAATCAATTGATTTATAAAACATGAGTATAGAAAAATGCTGTTTTTAAATCCCTCTGTTCAAAGTGGTGTATTCAAGTTGTGTTTGTGAGGCTCAAAAGAAATACAATTTACATTAAAAAAAAAAAAAAAAATGTAAACGGCAAATCTTCACATTGAGAAGGTTTTTATAAGAAAATTACATTTCCCTTAAAAAGGGTCTAATTAGAATAAATGCTTAAATAGTATCTGATTATTCTGCTTTATGTGGTCAAAGTAAACAGACAGCAACAGGTTTGAGTGATAACACGTTTTATTGTTTACAGATTATTTCACTTCAGATAAATCTTGAATATGTGACACTAGTATACAACTTCCACACTATGTAAAAACTGCTTTGCCGACTTAAAGGATAGACATGCAACAACACACTTAAGAAAAGTAAAAGGATTAGTAAAAAGGAGCATACGATAAAATAGGGGACTGATTTGGCTTCCATCTACAGCCGTCTTGAGTGACGGCACATGGCTTATAACCAGTTGCATATAAGGAAGTATTACCTGACTGAGGTTGAACAGCTTCATTAAAGAAGTGCACTTATATTCACTGTTGAAGAACCAGGCACTTAGCGATAACAAAATGCATAAAGCTTAGCAGCTGGAAAAGTTATGTTTCATATTCAAGTTTGAAAAAAAATCTGACGAATCAGCTCCTGATCAGAGGAACTGACTGAAGAGAAATTATAGTCCATAACTGTAAAAGCTAAAATCAGCCAAAATCTATGACACTAACATAAAATTTAATGAAACATTAGTACACTAAACACAACAGAAAACAAAAATCAGACTGCTCCATCTTCCATATGTCAGTTTAGACTACAGGCAGCAAGCACACCAAAGCAGGAGGCTGGTTAGTAAGTGGTGGTCCTTGATAACTCTCGCAGTATAAAAAGACTCCAGAAGACACTGCAGCAGAGCCAAACGTCAACATTGTCTTCACCTTCATTGCTTTCAAAAGGTAATCTCCTGTTACCTTGATCCTACTGACCACTTCCATTTGAATCACAGAAACTTCTCACACTTGCAGTGCAACTGGTATGTGCAGTAACAGTCTGTTACTACATAGAGACATGAGGAGTACACTAGTAATACCCCCAGCCTGGCCCCTTTATACTGGTTGAGTACACAATGATAGCAACGATATGCCCACACCAAGCTACACATTGATAAAATAGGATCAGCACCATTTAATGATTGGAAAGGCACAAAAAAACTTTCAGATGCTCAACAGCTGTTTTCCATTTTCTTCTTTGACCTTGATGAAAGCCACCAGCCGAAACACGTCGGTCTAAATTGTTATAAAGTTGATCTTTTTACTACAAGTGTTGCTGGAGCATTTTGACCTCTTCTAAGCCTTTCACTCTTCATGCACCTTGTTAGTTGGTGAAGTTTGAGCCAGAAAATCCTCTTTTTCTCCATTTTCTTCTTTAAAAAGTTTAAAGAAATAACAAGAATGTATCGACCTAGTTCCCCTATACGGAAAATGAGTCAGTAAAATAAAAAAATATCAATCACTGGCTAACGTGGGTGGAGGTTTGTCTGTTCTAGCTTTAAAATAGAGTTATTGATAAGGATGTATCCTTCGCAGCTTTCTGCTGCCGCCCACTGAAAAAAACCACAGCAGCCCAGACAGGGAACTTGAAAAGAAACCACATGAAGCAGAAACAAAAATCCAGATCACATGAAGAAGAAAGAGACACGTGAGAAACACATGCATGCACACGGACAATCAGACAGCGCTATGTTATTGATGAGTGGTTATAGGCACGAGGAGGAGATCTGAAGCTCCAGCTCTGGATACTGGTAACAGCTCTCCTGATAATTCTTTTCCCCAGCTCTTTTAATGCACTCCCTTTCCTGCAGCCTGTGAAGTCAACGAGAGAAACATGAGACAATCATCGCCTGCGTCATTTGTTACCTCTCACACATGATCTCTCTTTTTAAAAGCACACACTGCAGCGTACCTGGGAGATGTCGATTCCAGTGAGCTTCTCCACAGCGTTAGGCAGCCTGGTCATGATATCTAACACCTCTCCGGCGAGTTTGGCTGCTCCAACCTCTGAGCCGCCGCTGGACACCATAGTCACCTTATGGGCTGCACACAGTGGCTTGCTGATCTCCTCTGCGATCTGCAGGACAAGACAGAACAAAACATAGAAACTATGAAGGTCAAATTAAGCATGACAACATCTGAGGAAAATCTAATTTAAAAAAATTAGGAAAATGTAATCCAATATACATGAAGTCATGGGATTAATCTAAAAGAGAGTGAAATTACTTTGTTTGTAAGAATTGAAAAGAAAAGCAGAAGTAAATAGATAAATATTCTGAATGAGCTTAATGTGGTCATTTAGAAGAAGTAAAACTATTATCAAAGGTCATCTATCATGAGGCTGTGCTGTAATGCTAACAGAAATAAAAAAGAGTCAGTATTCAGTCCAGAGGCAAAAACTTTCATGAGAGCAAAGCAGTAATGACTGAAAAGGTCTTCCCCTGTATGACATCTTTGATCGTCGCAAACATCTTTTTTTTAAAGCAGTTCAAACATTATTCTTCCTCTAATCATTAATCCAAGAGAGTCAGACTGACCAGTGGCAGTTTCTCCAGCAGCATGTCCACCATGGCTCCTTCTTTGTACGTCTTGAAGGCCTCTGCTTTCTTGGACATCTGTTCTGCCTCGGCACGACCCTTAGCCTCCAGGGCAAAAGCCTCAGCCTCACCCCTCATCTACAAGGACAAACACAAACACATTAACAAGATTTACTTGATGTGACGTAGTTTAACAGGCAGAGAGGGAGTGCTACAGAATCGAAGGATGCACGCAGCAGGACTCACTTTGATGGACTCGGCCTCGGCTTCAGCCTCCATGATGAGCTGCAGGCTGCCAGAGTGAAAAGAGATTGCTAATTGATTTGCTGTTTTAATTGGTTTCATTTTGTCCTTCTTGTTGCTGAACTGGTTTTTAATGCACGTTTTTTATAGATATATATATATATATATATATATATATATATATTCAAACTCTCATCTGAACTACACACAACACTACTCTCATGTCCTAATACTCACCGCTGTGCCTCAGCCAGCCTCTCCAGACGGTATTTCTCAGCTTCTGCAGGCTTCTTTATTCTAGCCTCCAGCTCGTTCTCCTTACGGATTATTTCCTGCTCCTGCAGTGTGATCTGCTGGGTCCGCTCCACCACCTGAACCTGCATCTTCTCCTCCTCGATGCGCTGCTTGGTTTTGGCCACCTGATGATGGAGGCAGACAGTCGCATAGAACCTTGAATCTTGCTTGGTTCAATTGATACAAACATGATCAGGCGGTGTCATAAAGTCTGTGACTGAGAAGAAGAAGAGACTAACACAGCCAGCCAAAACTTAACCAGCAAACACTAAGCTAACAGAAGATCAAATCATTAAAGCATGACTGTACCTGCAGCTGATAGGCCATTTCTGACTCAGCCTTCCTGGTGTTGACCTCGACATCATAGGCTGCCTTCTTCAGCTCGTAGTCTCTCTGGGCTTTGGCCATCTCAATCTCATTCTTGTACTGAGCTGAAACCTTCTCCTGCATTGCATTGGCTTCCTGTATAGACAAAGTGGTGGGACAGACATCAGCATATCCGGTTATGACTTTTCAAATCATTGATTATTCTAATATGAGCAAATAAGCACAACTATGATGCAGAATGAATCTTGTCTTACCCTCATGACAGCATCTCGTTTGTACTGAGCCTCTCCAATCCTGGCATCCTTCTGCACCTGGGCTGTTCTGGCTTTACCCAAGGAGTGAAGGTAGTCCTACATGAGAGAGTTACTTTTAGCATGGTTTTATTTTGAAGAAAGAGGAGTCACCTGTTAGTGCATTATTACTAGCTTCAGAGATGATATGATTACTCAATGCTGGGTTCAAGGTCCACTTCATTTGACTCCCTATTTTTCTAAAATGTATAAAGTAAAATGTTCAGTTAGAGCGAAGCTCGCTTTGGGTCGTTATCCAAAACTTCCTCTGTGTTGTTACACAACAAGAACACAGCTTGAGAAGTTAAAAGGAAGGCAGTTCATTAGGCAACAAAAACAAGAGATGCTGTGGTTATCACTGAAGCACTCGGGTCTAATTCATCACTAATGTGATGTCAGAGCGGTTGGGGGTCTGTGGAGTCAGACATAGTTCATGAATGCTAATCACTTACTGAGGAAACGAGGAAATCATACGAGACTAAAAGCTTTCCAATAAAAGTATTCAGGCTCACAGAGACATCCCGGTTCCTGCTGCTCAAGTAATGAGTGTTGGTGTGGTGTTTTGATCATTAGATCTTTGTCATAAATACATGCAGAAAATAAATCTGAACAAAATAAAAGCACCTGATCATCATGAACATCTTTAAGTGTGTAGCTGACAACTCCAATCCCCATGTTGACCAGGTCAGAGGAGGCCACCTTGAAGACCTGCTCGGAGAACTTCTTGCGGTCCTGGTAGATCTCCTTTAAAAACACAGATTTATTCATCAGTTATTCCACACAGTGTAGAGTCATCCACTTTGTGGTGGAGTGATGAATCATAAAGATAAAGCCATCTCTGCTCTGAAGCAGCAAATGTCACGCAAATACATTTTACAATGTCAGTACACCAACCTCCACAGTCAAATGAGCGATGATGGCTCTCTGGTGTCCCTCCAGGGTTTCAAGAGCAATCGTGGCAACCTCAGCCTCAGACTTTCCCATAAACATTTGGCAGGCGGTGGCCAACATCTCCTTGTTCTGACCCTGGATCTTCACCTGAGAAAAGAAAGGAGAAGAAAAAGCTTCAGCGAAATAAATCGTCTTCAACTTGAAAAAAACAAACATTATCTGAAACATTGTTTTACCTGAATTGAAACATTAAATGTGATTACTTTAGACAGAAGCCCAAAAGCTAAAAGATGCCAGATGCAGATGTTTTTCATGGTATGCACACAAACTCATCAGTCTTACAGAGACCAACAGCCCTGTATGTTTCTCAATCTGTTTCTGCAAAAAGCATTTCTTTTTAAACAGCAAAAGTTCTTTGACTCCATTGAACAAAAGCCTTCTGTCATCCACGTCTCAAGCATACCTGTGCAATGCCAGTGACGGAGATCGGGACACCATGTCGGGTGTAGACTTTGTCACTCTTCACGTTTAGAGTCAGGGTGTTCAGTGTGATTCTGAGAAGAAAAAAACAACAAAAATCAAGAGGGATTGGGTGAGATTATGACAAATAGCAGGATCGCAAAGTCATAGCACAGAGAGACAATAAATTACGTTGATCATCAGCCCACAAAGAGCACTTCCATTTGCTGCTAATTGTAAGTAACCTGATAATGGATACAGCGTGCAGAACAGATACAAGTAGCCCACATCTCTCCTATTAACACTTATTTCCTTGCTTGTGACAAACAAACTAAAAAGGCAGTTATATTTGACAAAAAAAGCTGAAAAATAGAGATTAAAAATGTGATCACCTCTGAATTTGCTGGATACATGGAAGGACAAACACTCTTCCTCCAGCAATCATTAAAGGGGGTGAACGGCCAAAGCCTGGTGGGAAAAAACACACAACATAAACATTAGACTAGAATTCAGTAACATATGGCTAGTTAACGGTTACAATGAAATAGTTGGCTTGCAACATCAGTATTACAACAATGTTATTTATGCAATACACAATGGGATTACAATTTAAAGCAAGCTGGAAAATGCCTTCTTTACTCCAAATTGAGAAGAGACGTTACTCAACATCATCTTATCACAAGTCATGTGATGATTCAATCACTCACATGACACAGGTCTACAGGTGGACTACACAAATCTTGTCTCCTTTTATGACAGGACAATTACAACACATTTAGGGTGGAGTGTCTCCTAACCCAGCCTTCCTAAACATCCTTTGTATTTTTTGTTTTTGTAAATAATCATGCATCCCTGAGAGGTAGGCAGCGAAAGCAGCAAACATCTTACCAGACACCACCATGGCTTCATTGGGTCCACATGTGTAAAACATCTTGATTCCTGATGTGCAAAAAAGATAATGAGTCATGGCAAAGAATGAAAATCACTTGTAATCTAAAATATACACAGCATCACGTTTACAGTACACGTTGTTGATTTGTCATTTATTGTTATATTGGATGTGCTTATCTTTGTGGTTTTAGTTTACCAACCTGCCAAGGAACTACAGATGGAAATTTACATGTGTATGTTCATTAATGTGCACTGCCCCTATTTTAAATAAATAAATACAATAAATAAAGTGTTTTTCTATTACTGGAGCTGATTTGAGTTTAAATGAAATTATCAACATTGGTAAATAAATAAACAAAATAGGAAATCAGAATAGATGTTTATAACTGGATGAAGAGAACATGCACTGCTGTCCAATGAACGAGAAAAACAATAAATATCATTTAAATACATTTAAGAAATAAATAAATGCTTATTATGAGGGCATCGAAACTGTAGCCTATACGAGGTGGTTGAACCATAAAATAAGACAAATGTTTATAGTCATGTTTTTGTTATTATAGACAAGATCGTGGTATCATTGAGTGTAAACCTGCACGTCATTCTCCATGTCACAGACCACTCCTCTACTAACAGGAGGTCAGACTAGCTGCTAACAATGCTGGTACCCGCACTCAAAAACTAACAAAGCTTCATATCAAACATTACTTAGAGGAGCCAAAACAACTCTTTGTTTTCAAAGAATAACGACAGACTTACGATATATTAAATGTTACTAACTACATAACGGTCCGAAAATACGGTCAGCTCCTATGCTAAGCTAACTGTAGCTGCAGATAAATCGGGTCTGGTTGATAACGTCACTACGACTGCGGAAAACAAGACCCCGTACTAAAGCTATTAACTTTAGACAAACGATGTCATAATCGAGGCTTTCTTTCACAATAACTTACCGATATCCGATCACAACAAAGTGCAATTCTGTTAGATGTAAATTCAGATCTGTTTTCTGGTCCTACGGTCAGATCGTGAATCGTTTCCTGTCAACTGGTATGACAAAAATGTCTGTTTGTAAAGAGGAGTGTGACCACGCCCATATTCAATACAACAACTACACGTGTGGCGCCATCTGGTGGTTGAATGTGACCACTGCAGAACAAAGCCACTGTTGTGGCCCTATCACCTATACCAGGGAGGGGCAACTTTGGTCACAGCAAGGGGCCACATTCATTTAATTCTGACTGCCAGAGGGCCAAATTGTAGGATACAAAAACGATTAGTCAATTTTTTCTCAAATTTAACTCAACATATACCAGTGATCAAATATTATTATGGACATACTTCTGGTTTTCCTGATTTCATGGCATATTTAGTCATGTTTTCTTCATGTTCCCAATTAATTGATATGTAAAAATTGACCTGAGGGCCACGTTGAGGGTTGATGGGGGCCCACATGTGGCCCCCAGGCCGCCAGTTGCCCACCCCTGACCTATACTGTAGCTGCCTTATTTTCCTGTCTATCTATCTATCTATCTATCTGTCTATCTATCTATCTATCTATCTATCTATCTATCTATCAACATTTTAATTCAAAAGGGCTTTATTGGCATGGGAAACACATGTTTACATTGCCAAAACAAAAACTAAAATAATTAATTCCAACAAAAAATAACACAAATGAAATCATAAGTCACAGAGCTGTGCAGGATTGCAGTGTTACAAAGTGTATAGATAATAAAACACCTTGTGTTTAACTTTAATAATACTAGTTGACAATTTAACTTTGCTGAAAATATCAAATAAAAATGTAAAACTGTCAAGAGAATGTTTTTTTAAATGTTTTTTTTTTTCAAAACTATATTTACAGCTCTATTGTCTGTTTGATGTACAGTTATATATAGAGAGATAATTAGTGCAGCGTTTTTCACATTGATGTTCCTCACAAAGCAGGTACAAAGGTTTTTGGTTATTATTCACAAAGTGTTTGTGAGTTGATTTTTAAATGTATCTAGACATAATTGGAGTTTGTGGTGTTGCAGGCTGTTTCTTTTTTGGAATATCATAATTTGAGTTTTGGTAAGATTCACTGTCAAGGCCCCGAGTCTGACTTTTAAACTATGCAGAGATCTTAAAGGCCTGAAGCACCTGTGTTTGATTGAGATACTTTTAAAATGGATTTCCATTGCCCTCTGTCCTTTTACATTGGTCAAGGCACTCACTGCTAACTGCCTCAATAGTGCTCAGTTTTTATATAAACCCTAACTCTTATGTAATAATCTCCACAGATTATGTGTGCATTGGATGTCTGATTCAAATTGGAGGATAGCATGCAAAAGACAGAGAACATTGCACACTAAAAACCTGATGAAGCACCCACAGAGCAGACCTTCAGGTTTGCATTGAAAGCATTTGTAAAACATATTTATACTGTTGGAGTTTCTTCAACATGAATGCTCATCTTGAAAATAACAGGCAGCAGAATTCAGACGAGTAAAGTATTATGTAATTTCAAATTTAAAAAAAATCCCTTCAGCAGCAGAGTTCTCTATAACCCACTGATTAAAGTCTAATCTTATTATTTTATAGTCTGGCCTTGGATTTGATCCTGGTCTTCCTCACTTGATGAGAGCTGGAACAGAAGTCTGGTTTATCCCTTACTCTGACCAGATGTGTGTGTGTGTGTGTGTGTGTGTGTGTGTGTGTGTGTGTGTGTGTGTGTGTGTGTGTGTGTGTGTGTGTGTGTGTGTGTGTGTGTGTGTGTGTGTGTGTGTGTGTGGTGTGTGTGTGTGTGTGTGTCTGTGTGTGTGTGTCTGTGTGTGTGTGTGTGTGTGTGTGTGTGTCTGTGTGTGTGTGTGTGTGGTTGGGGGGTATTTTTTGAACTCAGATAGCTGTACCAGATTGACATTGTGTCAGGGTGTCCTGTGAATGTAAAGAGTTCCTTTTTCCTGCTTAATTAATAGACATAACATACAAACTTTGCCATGATTAGGCTGTGCAAGAAAATGTTCTAAAAAAAATAAAGGTAAATCAGCTGAAAAGCTACCAAATCAGCTACTTAAGAGGCCTAATTTGCTGATTCCAAGGCTCAAAATGACGTCAAGCTTTTATGAGTTAGAAGTCCTTGAAGTGCCCAGAGAAAATTAAAAGCATATTGAACACCTTTATTTCCATGACAACTGGTCAAACTCTATCTGCAGTAGATTTTTTTAACTATGCTTCACATTTTTTATCACATTTCTCTGCAGTTTGACTTAACATAACACAGTAAAGATTCCTGCATAAAACTAATGAATCCTCTCATTAACTAAAGTTTCCCTCTTGCTTTCAGGGTTCTGCATACACCCCTAACTAGGTCTTAACAGCTAAAAGTAAATATGATCCAATAACAGTTACCTCATGGCATAATAGTGAGGCCTTAAACTCTGAAAGCACGGAAACAAAGACATTCAAGATCTCATTATATGTTGAATATCTCAAGAGAAAGGATATTTTTATTATCAGATACGATCATCCTCTAATTATTCTCTAAATGGCAAATCTGGGATTAAAACATCCCAAAATCATGAATAATAATACAGATTTAATTTCTAAAATGAAATATGAGTAGGATGAGTAATGCATCAGCAGTTAAACTCAGATTCAGCAAGGTGCTAATTTTAACCAACGTTTTGTTCAAATGATCAAAGATTTAAACATCCTATCACATTTATCTCCAGATTTGAGGAGATGGGCCAAAGCTGACTGATCCTATCATGTCACTGGCTTGATAGTGAAATGTCTTCCATTTGTCTAGTCTGTAGGGAGTGTTACAGAAAGGAGAGGGATAAACTACAGCTGATTGGTTGTTGCTTACTCATGTCTCGAACAAAAAAAACTGTAACACGTCTTTTTGGTGGGTTTTTTTTCCTTCTAGACAGCAGCTGGTGTAATTCTGCTCTATCCCTCTATCTAATTTCCACTCCCTGATCTGCATCACCCCGTCTCCTCCTCCTCCTCTTCGCTCTCCGGGTCAGTCGTCTCAGCCAATCCCTGTGCAAAGCAGCTGGGGTCTCGGTCTAGACACGCCCACTCCCCCTGCCCCATCCTCGCTCTGGAAACGCTCCAACATTATAAATGCATTGTCCGGCTCTTTCCCACAAGTCTGCGGTTCGCTCGCCGTGCCTGTAGAGTTAACGCTCCTACTCGTCTCTTGTTAAACTTTAGCATCCATAATGAGGGAGATCGTGCACATCCAGGCCGGTCAGTGCGGTAACCAGATCGGAGCTAAGGTAAGAAAATGTTATTATTAATAATACATTTTGTCTTTTATTAAATTATGTTCAGAAAGCCACAGGCTCAGTTTGGTGGACGTACTCATTAGACGTATTTTCTAAACTCTCTAGATGACAGTTGTATTATGACTGAAGACAATGGAGTCCTTTTGTCTAATTGTGCATCAATTAAACACAATCCTTCCATAAAAACACCAAGTTTACCAACACTACAAATCAAATTTCATCACTCAAAAACTGAAAAAGAAAAAACATACATTAAGCGTTTATTTGAGGGGTTCTCTATCTATATGGTGCAGTGGACTGCGGTAACTGGTGGGTGGGTGTGGATTAGGGGACTGTGCCTCCTCTCACTGGAATAACGGGGGTCTTGTGTCTCGACTGGTTTTTGTTCACTCAACACCGGGCGTGTCTCAAATGCAAGGATTCAGCTGATCTCATGAAGACAAAAAAATCTGTCCATTCATCACTTGTCAGACCCTCTCAGTCAGTGCACTGAGCACTCCTCTGGTTTCTTTGTCTTGCACAGACATATATGGCTGGTATTTCAGACAATGAGTGGGGAAGTTGATGGGAGGCCTAGTTACTCCACCCCACCCTCCTCCTCTTAATGATCAATGATCAGTATAACATATTGATTAGATTGTCTTTCTGCAGGCTGTAGGTGCAGAGTGTTGCTTCAGCTGGTGAGAAAGCAGGAGAGCTGTGGCAAGGGTGTGGCATGGAGTGACACTGGCGAAGAAAGAAATTGTCTGTTTAAAAAAGAGCATTTCCTGAAATATATAATTTCGTCTCACATTGAAAACTTCCATATGCTTGCTTTTAAGTAAAAAAAAAAAAGTTTTTCATGTATTTGACACTTAATTCCACTTAAAAGGGTCCTGCTGTCTGTCTCCCAAGTAGCCTGCAATACATCATCGCCCACCAAGCCTTACAGCAACAATTGCTGTCTGCCACAGCGCACGCCTTCTCAGCCCATTATTATCTCTGCTGTCCTTCTAACTAATTTTGTTTTACAGCACATCATTTTCTACAGACCGCACATGTTTAAGTCTGACCTCTTGAACACACCCAGGAATCTCGTCCTGATATTCAAATATAGTTCATAGGCTCGACCAGCACTTTTACAATGGCCTATATGCTATAAATACATTATTATCATAGAGATGCTCTGCTGATGGAGAATGAGATTTAAATGTCCAGATGAGCAAGCTTTGTCTTTTTGTAATCAATGTCTTTCTTCTCCTAACCAAATTAGGGGGTAGGGTGGGGGAGGAATGGAGGAAACAGCTGATGCACAGCAGTGGGTGAAGTCACTGGCTTCTCAATTGACTTAATATGCAAAAGCTGCCATTGTAGGGTTAGAAATAAATAGACTTGTTCAATTGGAGTTAATGCAGTGAAAATATATGTTTTCACCTTTTTAAGGGACTTTGTATAATTTGTGCCCTGTGTTTGCCCAAACTGTGTTAAAATAACTGCTGGTGGTCTGACAGTGTGGATCCTGGATCAGTTTCCATTCCCCCAGGACTCATTGACTCAGATGTCCAGTGGGTATGATTGACAGACTTGCTGAAGGGCTACATTGTGGTGAATTAGGTCAGGGTGTGTCCTTGACTTTCTTGCTTATTGTCCTCATTCTTTCACTATGATGGTTTTCAGTCTTAACTGATAGCCATCTATCGTGTCACTGTCAGGCTGCTCTCAGTTTTTTCAGGCGTTCTTTTCCACCCTTTGTTCCTCACTTTATCCTTCTTTAGATCTCCCTCATATTAAGGTCACTTGGTAATTTTTGTTTTACGTGGTCTCATTTCAATGTCATGATACTGAGACCAAACTGACTCCCAATCTCTTAAGTACTGAGCTGCAATACAGCCCGCTTATCCAGATTACTCTAAATCCTCCCATTGCTGCTGTTAGCAGAAAACATCAAAAAAAAGCCCAAGTTGGAGGAGGACAGTACAAAAATATGTTCATGCAAATGACTGCCTGTGCGTGCAACCATCACACCCGCTTGTGGGATTTAATTCAACACAGTGAGTGTGGTCCTTTCAAGAGTGAACAAGACATGAATGCAGATCTGAATGCTGATCTGAAGACAATCGGTGTCTTTTGTGCATTAAGACTGCAAATGGAGTTTATTCTCAGTTCTTCTCATGGGTTTTTGTTATCTGTAGCTCCTTTGTTCCCTCTCCTTTTGCACTTTACATCTGAAAGAACTGCATTCTGCTTAGTCAGCAGTTGTTGACTGTGGAAATATTAACAGCTGTATTGTGCGAAATGATATGGCTTGGTGAAAGGGGAAAAATCCTGTCATTTTCATCAGCTCCCAAAAATGCAAAGCCACTGCTGTTTTCCTCTTTAAAGCTCCAAGTTCCATAAACCACATTGCTAATGGAGGGATGCGTGCTTTCTTTGCAAGGAACTGTCATGTGATACCTTCTATTTTATTCCTGCAGTTCTGGGAAGTGATCAGCGATGAGCATGGCATCGATCCCACAGGGACTTACCACGGAGACAGCGACCTGCAGCTGGACAGGATCAGTGTCTACTACAACGAGGCTACAGGTCAGCTGCTTTTCTATCTAATGGGTTGTCATAAAAAAAGACAACAATAATGTTCGAACATTACGCTTAACTCGGCCATTTCAGTCTGAGGTGTATCTAAAGACATGTTATTATCTTCTCAAATGCCCTGCCATGCATGTTTTTTTTTTCATCCAAGACATCCAAGACTGTGGCTTCCTGCATTATTGAGCTGGTATGTTTTCTCTCCTCTCCTCTTCTCCCTTTTTCTCACAAATTCTTTGTTTTTGTTTGTTTCTTGCGAAGGAGCTAAATATGTTCCTCGTGCCATTCTTGTGGACTTGGAGCCTGGAACCATGGACTCAGTGAGGTCGGGACCCTTTGGGCAGATCTTCAGACCTGACAATTTTGTCTTTGGTGGGTAGAAGAATTCCATATTCCCATCTTGATGCATGCTAAATATTGTGTGAATAGCAGGGAATAATGGCTCACCTGTATATCATTTCTTGTCCTCCAGGCCAGAGCGGTGCTGGAAACAACTGGGCCAAGGGTCACTACACAGAGGGAGCTGAGTTGGTGGACTCCGTCCTGGATGTGGTCCGCAAAGAGTCTGAGAGCTGTGACTGCCTGCAGGGCTTCCAGCTCACCCACTCTCTTGGTGGGGGAACTGGATCTGGTATGGGAACCCTGCTCATCAGCAAGATCCGCGAGGAGTACCCCGACCGTATCATGAACACATTCAGTGTGGTGCCTTCCCCCAAGGTAACCAACCCTATAGAACATGATAATTTGGGGTTTTCATTTGAGCCACTGCTCCTGTGTTCTCCTCTAAACTCATGAGACTAAAGAAAGTCTGTGTTTTCTGTCCTCAGGTATCAGACACAGTGGTGGAGCCTTACAATGCCACCCTGTCAGTCCATCAGCTTGTAGAGAACACAGATGAAACCTACTGTATTGACAATGAAGCCTTGTATGACATCTGCTTCCGCACCCTGAAACTTACTACACCCACCTACGGAGACCTTAACCACCTGGTGTCAGCCACCATGAGTGGAGTCACCACCTGCCTGCGTTTCCCCGGGCAGCTCAATGCTGATCTCCGCAAACTGGCTGTCAACATGGTGCCTTTCCCCCGTCTGCACTTCTTCATGCCTGGCTTCGCTCCCCTGACAAGCAGAGGAAGCCAGCAGTACCGTGCCCTCACAGTCCCTGAGCTCACCCAGCAGGTGTTCGATGCAAAGAACATGATGGCTGCCTGTGACCCACGTCATGGCCGCTATCTGACTGTGGCCGCTGTATTCCGTGGCCGCATGTCCATGAAGGAAGTTGATGAGCAGATGCTCAATGTGCAAAACAAAAATAGCAGCTACTTTGTTGAATGGATCCCAAACAATGTGAAGACCGCTGTCTGTGACATCCCACCCCGTGGCCTCAAGATGGCCGTCACTTTTATCGGCAACAGCACAGCCATCCAGGAGCTGTTCAAGCGCATTTCTGAGCAGTTCACTGCCATGTTCCGCCGTAAGGCTTTCCTGCATTGGTACACAGGTGAAGGTATGGATGAGATGGAGTTCACTGAGGCAGAGAGCAACATGAATGACCTGGTGTCTGAGTACCAGCAGTACCAGGATGCCACCGCTGAAGAGGAGGGAGAATTTGAGGAGGAGGCTGAAGATGACGCCTAAAGATACAAATGTGAAGGTCAATTCTTCAATATCAAAACAGGAAATAATCAAGGAATAACCACAGAAGTAACCATGGAGCAAACGTAGTTGCCGGAGCATTGCTAGAGTCAAACTTTAGAATACATTAGATATTGCTAGTGTTTCACTGCCAATAAAGTTGTGAAATGAAAATAACTTGTCTGCCTGTCATTAATGCTCCCATAGAAATCATTCTTATTTATCGGATTACATTAACCACAAGTAGGCCATTGAGTTCCAAACTCACACTTCAAAACGGTGTGCAAACATAAATAAGGCTTGGATATCATGGGGGATTTCCAGAAAAGATGAATGTCAAGGTCAGCAGTTTCCCTAATAGAGCATACTAAAGCATTCATGTGCTCTTTCCTGCAGCTATGAAAAATGGCTGTGTCATCCATTCTTGTTATGCATGGATAAGAAGGTTTTATTTTTTTCAGTTCAGTTCAGTTCAGTTTATTGCCATTTGTAGCATGAAAACCACATTGGAAAACATTTGCAAGAGGTAGACAGTACAATTGGAAACGGACACAGGACAGTGAGTTTAAAAAACAGGCAATATACATATAAATATAAATAAAAAGGAAGAAATCATTATTTATGTGTTTCATTAGCTCCTAGATATGATACAGTTATATTAACCTCAGGAATTATCAGTGCATTAACAGTAGTTCAGTTATAGTAACAGTTGTCATTTAGGTTTTGATAGAAAATAATTTCACTTTGATACCCATGAGAGAAATACTATTTCTCTTTGCCACTCCACAATCTCACAAATATGAGGGTACCTAAGAACATATGCAAATAGCACAATGTCTTTGTTAAGAGACCAAGAGAGTAGACGGCCATGCAGTGTTTCCCCTAGGTTTAAAGCGTTGGGGGGGGGGGGGGGGACAAGCCGACACGGTGACACCAACACTTGAAGGCATCTTGGTGTTCATGTGTTACTTTTAATGACAGCTGTCCTTTTCTATCAGAAAAGTATCCTTAAATGACTTCTTTCCCTGATTTACGACTCTATCCACTATCCTATCCCTACAATAAAGGCACAAAAAGCCTTAACTTGACCTTCAGGTGATAATGGTAGGGGGAACACTGGCATGTATAACCAGTATTTAAGTAAAATACAATGACACATTCTCAAATATATATATTTTTTAAGCAAACATCAATTTAATGCATCTAGACACTTTGAGGGTTTGAATTCAGTTAAAGTTGAGAGCCTGACATACAAGTGAAGATGCAGCTACGAGATAGGCTAATTGTCTTATTTTCTTAATGGGCCATATAAAGATCAAGATAAAGATAAAGATGAACTTTTATGGGGAAATTTCAGCTCAAAAAACAGGAATATAATTAGCAAAAAGTTAAAAAAAACAAAAACATATTCACATCAATTAAATAAAGGGAGAAAAATACAATAATAGAATAATACTAGGTAGGCTATGCACACTTTCACTTGTGGAAATATATAAAACTAAGACTCCAAACTGTGACTGATGGCAAAGTGGTGGCTGGTTTAATCTTGTGCCAAGGAGATGTAAATAGAGCAACAGTTATGACGACAAGTGGGCAAGTTGAGACAAGCCGCTACCGCTAAATCTAATTTGTCTGCGTGTCTCTTTAAGACACCAGTTGGTCAGCGCGAAAACGAATGTATGAACAATGACGTCATCTGAGCAGGCGAGTTGAATGTCCAATGGGTAGCAGCTTTAGCCTGAGTGATGGGTGTGTTGGCCAATCGCTTGTGATTGAAACGTCGCTTGGTAGGCGTGATCGGATCCATGCAGGATGTGCATGAACATTGTTGTTTATTTTCGGAACGAGGCAACCCTTTTGAAGGTGGGTGAAATAATACAAACCTTTTTCGCAAATAGAGGATATAAAAAAGGGGGACACATAATGCTGCCATGTAGTAAATTTACAAATGATCTTACTTGAACTATTTTGATATGCATTTGTCTGATTGAGCATAAAACCACTCTTGCAGTCGCGTAAACTTCCTTCAAAGATTTCAAGGTAATTTACATCATTACTGGGACTGTGTTTATCTGAAAAGAGGGGCATGAAAACACTCAAATTAACAGAGAAATATCACAATAAGTGACTTTGTATTTTTGAGAGCTGTGACGTTGTTCACGGCACAGATTGAAGTGTTAACGTATTTTAGTTTCGATCTTAATTTTGTTTTTATTCTGACCGGAAGTGGGATTGTTGTGAAGTGACGCTGCTGTGACACATGTTCATACACGTTTAGTAAGAAGTTGTGATAGCTTTGCGCCACATAAACAGGATCATCGATACAGCATTTAAAGGAAGCAGGAATACAACAAGAAGTATGTTGTGTAAAATCAACTTTATTTAGCTGTTTAGACAAAACGTTGACCTATGCTCAAGCCAGTTTAAGCTACTTTTGCACTTACCAATAATACCTTAATGTTATTGCATTTATAGCTACATAACTGTGTTTTTGTCCTGTGTGAAGAATGGATGCTACTCAAATGATCAGTGACTCAATCTTGGAGTCAGAGGAAGAAGAAAGTGAAGAGGAGAATGAAAACAAGAGGGGGCAACCTTTGGCTAAACTCTGCATCTTAAAAAATAAATATATTCCTGAGAAAGGTAAGTTTGCATCTGCTGTTTGGGGGGGTTTATTGACTTGTCTGCCTATGTTGTATGAACAGGTGTTTTCAATGTATTTTTTTTTTTTTACAATGGACGTTCTCTGTCTTCCAGAGTTACCCCTCTTTTTGGGAGACAATGTCCTGGGCCGTGAACCCAACACCTGCAACCTGCCGTTGGAAGCGTCCTCAGTATCCAAGCAGCATGCGACCATCTGCATCTCGGCCTACAGGAGAAAAGGTTGTGATCGTGAAGTTGACATTGAGGCTTTGGTTTGGGACCTAGGAAGCATGAACGGGACCCGCAAGGGCCGTTTAAAGCTGACTCCTAATGTACGATATGCCCTCAGTGAACAGGACAGTTTGGTAGTGGCCGACATCCCATGTCAGTATGTGAGTTGTGCGGCAGATGAAATCTCTTCTCGAGGGGATGCAACGGCTCCTGTAAGCAAAACTAATGGGGTAACGGCTAAGATGCCGGCGGTCTCGGGAGAAACGGTAATTGATGCAAACAGAAGCAGCAAGAGTTTTGTTAACGGAGGTCCAAAGTCACGGCCGTCATTACCTGAGGACACAAGGAATACTCCAGTCACACACAGTTGCCTGTCCTTTGAGAAAACTCCAACACAGCCACAGGCAAGCCTGGTCCCAGAATCGGACTTAGACTCAGATGGAGAAAGAGGGGTAGAAGGAGAGAGAAGGCGCAAGGCACTCGGTATGTAGATTATGTAAAAGCTTTGGGAAACGGCCCGGTTTCTGTATTTGATGTCTCTATAAGTTAATCTTTCCTGTCTTTTACAGTGTCCAACACAGAGTCCTATAAATCCAGTCCCACCTGTTCAACATTCCTGAGTCCTACAAACAAAATAGTCCCTGAAAGGTATATTTTTGCAATGCCTTACTTTAGAATTCATATTTTCATAACATAGGATTGACAAACCTTTTTAAATGTGTAAGTCAATAAACTTACCCCAAATCTACATTGTCTTGCTTGTTTTACAGTGAGGACGAAAGTCCTATCACACCGTCCTCCTCGTCTAAAAATAGGCCTTACGGACATGTCAGTTTCAGCAAGGAGGAGACATACGTGGATGTGGGGCGACAGCAGCAAAAGGAAAAAGAGAGCCCTGGGGTTGTGGATGACAGCGAAGAGGATGGAGGAGAAGAGGAAAGAGCAGCGCTAGCAGGGGAAAAGTCTGAGGAGAGCAGACAACATGTGCAAGTGAAACAGGACAGCGATGTCAGTCTTACTGGAGAAGACGAGTCGCCTGTATCTACTACTGCAGCTCTCACTGATGAGATCCCTGTTTTTAACATGGACAGCGATACAGATGTGGAGGGAGAGGAGGAAGAGGAAACATCTGCGGCTCCTGTGAGCTTGAATACAAATCAAAAAGCGGACACAGTCCAGTTTCACATGGACAGTGATACAGATGTTGAAGAGGATAATGACGCCTTACAGAAAGTTTCCAAATCTGCTCTTCCCTCTGCTGACACCAAACGTCCTCATTTTATTTCAGTTATTCAGCCAGAGGGCTTGACTATGGACAGTGACACTGATGTTGATGATGATGATGGTGCTGTGTCAGATGCGAAACCTGGGTCATTTCCGAGCACACACACAGCTGACTCTGCTCCGTCAACGCAGCCAGAAGATTTCCGCCTAGACAGTGACACAGACGTTGATGAGGAGGAAGAAAAGCAATGTGGAACAAATACTATCGGCTCAAAAATAGATGAAACTCCCACTGAACTGGATATCAAGCCAAGTAAGCCTGAATCAGCTCCTAATGCTCCTCTCAGTGTGCATGTTGACAGTGACACAGATGATGAAACTGCTGCTGTCAGTGAACCCTCAGCACTGTCTGCTGTCACAGAGTCAAACGCTACTGTAGATAAAGGAGCTGATTTGGGTATTCTGTCAGACAGCGACACAGATATGGAAGACGACTCTCTGGTCATACCTGTTGCTATCGCATCATTGTTACTTTCTCCTGCCACCAAGTCAGATGCTCCTCAGCCAGATTCTGATGCAGATTCAGGTGAAAACGACTCCAACTCTGCCGGAGAGGGGGGCAATCAAGTTGACCTTGGACTGGGCAGTGACACCAATGTGGAAGATAAGGAAGAGGTTTTTGAAAATGACGGTGAGGACCAGATCCCAAGCCTGTGCAGAGAAAACACACCTGGGTTGCTGGTTCCCCTTCTGCACAACTGCTCGACTCCTGTACAGATGTTAGGTAAATGAATCCATCCTGACACGACTCATTTAAATTAAACTTAAAGTTGTTTTTTATGTTGATTAATCCACTGACCATTTCCCAATTTGTTTACAGGGTGATATAATGTCAGAAAATAGTTTTTCAAAATCCCATGATAGTATCCCTGATTCATCGGTGATGTGTTCAAATAGCTTGTTCTGTTCCGCCAACATTTAACCCCAAAGACAGAGTTTTCATCAAGCATATATATATATATTACAAAGAATAGCATCAAATCCTTTTATTGAAAAATGCACATGATACAGCATTTTTAATTGTGTTATTTTAACTTTCAGAAGGACAAGTTGAAGATATGGACACCCAGGCCTTCCTGAGTCCTTCTACAGGTCCATTTAGAAGTGAGTGAATTACTTTTTTTGCACATATCTCGGTTTCTATTTGTAAGACTATGGATATATTGGAGGGGAAATAATAATTTTAACATCACAGGAATGTCCCTTTATTTTCATCTTTGTCTCCCAGGTGCAGTAGCCCATGCTGAAAGACTTCAAACCCTGCCTTCCTTGTCAGACAGCAACGAGGATGAAGATTATGTTGTGGCAGAGACGCAGTCCTTTGTACTTCAGACCAGAGAGGGCCATGGCAACACTCTAAGGGACCCCGCCCAAGCTTTTGGCCTCGAGTCTGCTGCTGATGAAAAAGGCGAACCGTCCATTAGAGCAGGGTCTTTCCAGCTGGGACTGTCTGACAGCAGCCACCCGCAGGTTCAGGCCCAGGCTTTAGCCATGGAGAGCACCCAAGCTTTTGTGCCTCTGGAAGGGGGCGTGACTTTGGAAGAAACCCAACCGTATGCAGCCAACTCGAATACAGAGAGAAACTCTTTAGAGAATGATGCCAATATGGAGGATACACAGGCTTATGCAGAGGAGGAAGATGAGGAAAAGGTTGCTAGAGGTTCTGTAATGACTGAAAAAGAAGGTCATGTCAATTTTGCCCTGGAAGCAACACAGGCTTATATTCCAGATCCCAACTGTGATTCAGAGCATGAAACAGACATGGATGAGAGAAATAGTACTGCTTCTGCTGAGACGCAGCCTTTAGACTTTCCCACTTCGTCCACTCTTGCCATGGCTGAAACCCAACCAATGACTGCCTTTGAGGAAGAGGAGAGTTTGGATGAAGAACACCTGGTTTCTGCTTTAGCAGTAAAGCCCAGACCGCTTAATGAATCAAAAGAAAGAGGAGAACATGAGGAAGCAGCTCAACCTCAGGAGCTTCAGCTCAGTAAAGCTATGTCTGTAAGTGAAACTCAGCCCATGTGCACAGGTGACGATGAGGAAAGTGATGATGAGGATTCAGTGATAGGTTCACGAAAAAGAAAGTCAAAACAGCTGCAAATTGAAGATGAGCAGACACAAACCCTCACAAACTCTGAGCTCTCTGCTGTTGAAACCTCGCCCATGGGTGCAGCTGGAGATGCAGAAAGTGATGAAGAGGACTCAATTCCGGGTCCGCGAAAAAGAAAGGCAAAGAGGCTGCATATTCAGGATGAGGAGTCCCAAACGCTCACAAACTCTGAGCTCTCCGCTGCTGGAACTCAGCCCATGGGTACAGCTGAAGATGGAGAAAGTGATGAAGAGGACTTAATTCCAGGGCCTCGCAAAAGAAAAGCCAAACGTCTGCAAATTCAGGATGAGGCAACACAACCCCTTACAAATCCTGAGGACTCCACTGTCGAAACTAGGCCCCTGGAAACAGACACTGGACTGCAGCATCATAGAGGAAGGGGGAGACAATCTGACGCTGGAACCAGCAGCATCGCTGTTAGAGGAAAGAGGGCTACAAGGACAAGATTAAGAGAAGAGGAGGATCAGGAAGACTGTTCTGAACCTCCACGGAGACAGACGAGAGGGAAACATGTGAAAGCTTTGCCAACTACAAGAGGAAGGAGAGGGAAATCAGGACCGAATGAGAGTGAGGAAGAGGAGGAGGTAGAACAGGCTAAAAGAACTAGAGGCAAAAAGTCAATGAGGCAACAAGAGGAGGATGAACAAGAAAAAATAGCGAGGGAGAGACAAGAGCAAGAAGAACAAGAAAGATTGCAATCTGAAAATGCAGAAAGGTTAAGGCTTGAAGTGGAGAAAGCAGAGAAAGAAAGAAAAGTACAAGAGGAAAAACAGAGATCAGAGAGGGAAAAGGCAGAGAGAGAGAAAGAGAGAGAGAAATTAGAAAGGATAGAAAAGAACAGAAAGGAAAAGGAAGAAAAAGAGCAGGCTGAAAGGGCCCAAAAGGAAAAAGAACAATTGGAGAGAGAAAGAAAAGAGCAGGCTGAAAAAGAGAAAATCAAGCTTGAAAATGAGCAAAGAGAAGAACAAGAAAGATTAGAGAGAGAAAACAAAGAGAAAATTGAAAAAGAAAGAAAGGAACAGGAAGAAAAAGAAAGATTGGAGACAGCGAAGAGGGAACTAGAAGAAAGACTGGCGAGGGAAAGAAATGAACGAGAAGACAAAGAGAAAGTGGAGAGAGAAAAACAAGAAAAAAGAAGCCAAAGAAAAACAAATTAAAGAGCGAGAAGAAAACAAGACTGAAACACCTGCAAGAAGCCGGAGATCAGCTAGAAAAACAATTGCTGCTGTTTTTACAACACAAGACTCAAATGATGTCCCAGCCAGGAGGACCAGATCTCGCTCCAACTCTTCCAACTCTGTCAGTTCAGAGAGGTCCGCTTCAAGTGTGAAAGCCCAGGAGAGCAGGGGGAGAGGCCGAGGAAGAGGAGCAAAGAGGACCAATGAGCCTCCTCCAGCAGCTTCTGCAAGAAGCAGTAATAGAAGGAAGACTGTCGCTGCAGGGCCAACACAACGTGACAGTGGTGATGTCTCTCCTCAGGGAGTTCTTTCCAGGTCTAACTCCACCAACTCCCTCAACTCGGAGATTTCCCACTGCAGCTTGGCCTCTCAGAGCAGGGGAAGAGGAGGCAGGCAGAGAGGAAGAGGAAGAAAATTAGAAGCAGACTCTGTTGTTGACCAGAGTCCGGCTCCTAAACCTACAGGCAGGGGCAGGAAGAGCAGGAAAGGAAATGAATCCACTAATGAGATTCCTGATGAGGATGATAAAGAGAAGACTGTCTCTCAGACTAGTACCACAAGGGGGCGACAGCGAGCCAATATAAATGTCTCTGAGTCTGCTGCTGCAGATGAAGGCCCCTCAATTCACAAGAGTGCCACAGAAGAGGAATCTCCTCTGCCGAAAAGAAATGTTAGTGGCAGAGTCCAAAAATTAGTAAATAATGAGTCTGTTGAGTCACCAGTTGGACCTGCACTCAGTGATGGATATGAAGCTAAAAGAAAAGGAAGAAAAAGAGAGTTGGAGGAAAACACAGCGGATCCCAGCAGCAGCTGCAAAATGTCGAAAGGGAAGGAGAAAGCAGAAGAAGAAGCAAAAGTTGTAACTAACGATGAGATTCCAGTTCAAGCTAAAAGACGAGGTCGACGATCCAGCGCTCAAGCAAAAATGAATGCTAAAGGTTCCTCCACTGAAATGGAGGTGACAGAGGAGAAAACGGAGGAGGAGACTGTTAAGAGGAAAGGCAGAGGTCGAAAATCAGCCGTCCAGGACAAAAGGAAGGAGCAGCAGGATGAAAGTGGATCATCTGTTGACCAGGATGCAAATATGGAAGCTTATGAGGTGACTGGATTGCTTCACATTGAATTGGAAATTGTGAAAAATTACAAAATACATCAGAGTTGAAACAAAAAACAGACTTACTAGTAAACTGATGTATATAATTCGTGTTCAGCCAGCCTTTGTCCTTGAAAAAGGAGAGGCCAAAGGCCCTGGAGCATTTCTCTTTATGACTCAGCCTTTCCAATAATCTTAATGTATTGCGATCAACATCAGTGACTGTCTAGGTCTCCTCTTAATGCAACTACAGTAGTCTGACCTACTCTGCATCACAATTACTATCCAAATGAAATAAAGGTCTGATACACAAAAGGACTGCACAGCTTTAGCGTTTGCAAAACATGTGCAAATGACTCAAAAAGACATTGCCATTTCAAAAACCTGTATTTAAGTGAAACATTTTGCATTCATTTGGGCTCAAATTTGACCACTTTTGATCATTGCAAAAAAAGTCTAAATCCCACACACCAGGGCTAATAGCCACACTCATAGGAAAAAATTACTATCTGCAAAGAGTTGGTGGTAACTGCTGCAATATTTATAAGGGATGTCATGCTCATCCTTTAAAGTTCTCTACTTTGTTTTGTACCAGCTGCCCTTCCTGGCTCAATCCAGGGAGTAAGATTTGTTTTAATCCAATATCAAAGTTTGGGAAAGGTGTCCCTTCCTTTCCCAGCTTATCATCTGGACAGAATTCAGCTCCGTCACCTCTATGCAGTGACAAAACAAGAAGAAACTGAACTGATCAGGTTAACTTAATGGTCTGTTTGTACTTGGATAGCATTAGCTATCTTTGATGCATAATACATGCTGCTTTTAGCCACCGCAATCCATTCCTCATGAATTTTCCCCTAGGTGTCATTTCCGATTGCTACTTTTTTAAATTACACTTCTTCCATGACATAGTGTTCTTGTACTGGTTTTCTTCTTCATTCACTCATCCCTTCTCCATTTCCTCTTCCCTTGAACAGCCCCAGACTCCAACCAGCGGTGTGTCCCGGAAGCGACGGCTCCTCTGGACTCGTCACCTGTTGTAAAGACACCTCGCTCCTCCTCTGCTTCCCCGGCAGCTGGTGGTCGATCAAGAAGTGCCAGCCAGACCTATAAGGTTTTCATATGACTTTGTAGACATCGGATCATATCTGTCAGAAAAGTTAGAGGGTTATTTGAACCTTCATAAGAAACAGATTTCTGCCTGTCACCAAACAAAAACTGAAGTTGGATTTGCCTTGCGTGTCTTGTCTTTTTTTTCTCAGGTGCTGTTCACAGGTGTGGTGGATGAAGCAGGGGAGAGAGTGTTGGCTCGTTTAGGAGGCAGCATGGCTAAAGGTGTTGCAGATATGAACTGTTTGGTGACTGATAAGGTCCGCAGGACAGTAAAATTCCTGTGTGCAGTGGCTAAAGGAGTCCCCATTGTCACCACACACTGGCTTGAAAAGGTTAGTTGTTATATTATCAGTTAAAACTTTCCCCAGACCGGGTCTCTCTTTGAAAAATGGATGTGGATGTATATGCACTTAAACTATAAGTCACATACATACTGTAGATGTACTTAAATAGATACTGGCTGGTTGACTGTTCTTGTTGTCTGCTGTCTGTGTTTTAGAGCGGTAAGGCTGGCAGCTTCCTGTCTCCTCATGCTTTTATTGTGAAGGATCCGGAGCAGGAGAAGAAGTTCAGTTTCTGTCTACAGGAGTCTCTGAGGACTGCCAGCAGTCAGCCTCTCTTTCAGGTACTCACAAGTCAATCACAACATGTATTTCTATGCTCATATTCTTCCTCTGAGCGAGAGGTTGGCCGAGTGTTATTGCGGTATTTCCCCAGGCAGATAGAACAACGCTGGTGGTGGTGGTGGATAATATTGACAGTGAAGAATACTGAGTGAGTCATGGCGGGAATACAGAAACGTCTGTATTAGAATAATCTTCAGCCTATGAAAGATCAGGCATTAGCCTCTTTGTAGTTCAACATGCTCACATCTTGACTCAGTGGTGATTGTTCACCATTACACTGTGCCTTGTGGGAAGTATTTTGACTTTTATTGTTAATGCACTGGTTGTTTATAGGTACTTAACATAGGGAAGCAGGCTGTTATGTTTCCATTCTGATTCATACTCATCATGCACTGCGCTGTATCTCTAAAGGGATATTTTGATTCCACATATAATGTTGATTCAAGCTACTATTGAGGAATTGTATACCTCTGTAATACCAGATTCCTTTCCTTGGAGATGTGTTCTTGCAGATATTTAAATACAAATAGAAAGGAACTAGACTTGTTTACATTTTCTATGCTGCTTCTTTTGTCTTCTTTCTGTCAGGGATACGAAATCCATGTAACAAAATCAGTGAAGCCAGAACCAGTCCATATGAAAGACATTATCTCCTGCAGTGGAGCTACTTTTCTTCCCAAGATGCCCTCTTCTCACAAGGTGAAGTACTTTCTCCATCAAGTCTTGCAGACAATTAAATTAGTAACTGTAGTTATTGTTTTAAGACATATCCATCTCATTTTTTCGTCCCTTTCAGCCTCAGACTTTAGTGATTTCCTGTGAGGAGGACTTGTCTCTCTGTGGTCCTGCTTTCGCTGCGTCCCTCCCGGTCGTTACGGCTGAGTTCATTCTCACAGGGATTCTGCAGCAGAAACTCGACCTACAGACCCACTCAATCTCTGCTCCTGCCAGCAATCTACCAACTGCAGGAGGAAGAGGAAGGGGCAGGAGGAAGACTTAGCAGCCCCTGGGTATACTGCAATATCCACAAAATGTGACACCATCCATATGTAGGAAATCTGCCGCTGTTTTCATGTCGTTGATTAGCTTACAAATCAGTGACTGGTACAAAACTCAACAGGTGTGTGTGCCACATACAGCTAAAATGGATTGTATACTCACATGGTAGATAACATATTTTGAATGTAGTTATTTTATAGTGTTAGCTATAATATTAAACAAATTTTATATGCACTCTATCCTGTTTTGGAAAATGGTAAAAACTGAATTTAGGACACTTGCAAAAGAGTTTATAGTTTGTATGTTTCCAACTCTGCACTCAGTTGATTCTTTTCTACCAATCAGGCTTTGGGTCTTTGAGGAAATGTAGTTTTTAGCGTTGCAAAAGCTGACAGCAATGATGCTGCTATGATGCAGGAGGGGAATAATTACCAATAACTCATCCTTGTCCCTTTCTCCCTGTTATCCAATGCTGTGCTCCACCTCTTCTTGGCACCACAATAACACGCAGAGTACAACTTAACACAGCAAAAATGCTGCTACTCTCTTTTGTATGCTAAGTGCTCCAACTCTTATCAGCCCGTTTGGCAGGTTACCAGATGTGAAGTGGGAGAAGTATAATCATGTTTGGGTGGAGGAATAGTGGAAGTGATCAGGTAGGTTTTGAGAAACATCATCTATAATGACCAGGGGATGGAAAAAAAAAAACCGTTTCTCCTGCCACGATAAGAAGAGTATAGTGCCTTTTATGCCGAGGTAATCTTGAACCTGGATCTGGTTCTTCCTCCGTCTCCATTACCCACCTCCCATACTCCATTAAGGCTTCATCCAATCCTATTACCTCCAGTGATGAGACATGATAGGCACCTGAACGCTGATGCTTTTCCTACATCAATATGTTCCTGCCCTTGTACTAAATTTTCCGACCGTTCATTTTATGCATACATGTCTTTTATCTAAAAAAGAAAGGTAAAAAAAGGCAGCAGATCTTCAAGTCGATTTCTCCTCTGACCCCGTGTATACGTAAAGTTTACCCATGCTGCATCATTGGTGTTTTTAAAAACATGCTCATTAGCTTACAACAAAGTTGGATTACAGAAACTTTTCAACAGCTAATATCTTAACACCATAATGTATTTGTATCATGTTAAGTATTCTGTCTGTATTCCCAATGAGAACATTAAATCTTTTCTATATTACCTTATGTCTTCACTGTTGTAAGCTTTATCTGCATTTTTGACTATGACTAGTTGTATTGTATTGGTGCTGATGTTTTCCTCAGTTAAGGAAAGCATCAATATCGGAATATAGGATAATTATACTTATATGTATATCTGTATGTATAAAATATTATATTATATATTATTTTTCAGGTGGTCTTAGTGAGAAATTGGTAACCAACGAGAATCTTCAAATACATTTTAATTGTTAGAATTTTGAGATTAAATTGTCAAAAGAGGTAGACTTGAACTTCCCTCAAGTGTAGAAATTGAAACGTGTAGATTTATGTTCTGGCCCTTTTTTTTTATTATTCAGAAATCTAGACAAGCTTTGATATCGAGGAAAACTAGGAAAATACTTTTAGGAGCATTGCATCATAACACAAGACACATTATGACCTTCTTCACACGTAATGTAATGTCTTAAAAGTGTTTATAGACGCACAGTATAGAGCTCAATCAGCATCAATCATCTAATACCCCACCTCACCTGTCAGGTGACCGTACATGTGTCTTTTTAAGGGGCAAGGGGGGGGCTGCCGGTGTTTCCCGACACGAGTCGAGTGTCTCCGAGCTCGAGCAGCAGAGCCCGACATATTCTGAACATCTTCCAAATGTTGAGCCCGAGTCGTGAAGTGCGGCTCTTGAGGGGGGCGAGGTTGAAAGGGAGGGAGACGACGAGGGAGGAAACCGGCAGCGTCCACACTGATCTTCACCTCTGAAGGCATCCCGACGTCTACTTTGACTCCAGCCGGGCGATTCAAGGTAAGCTGATTTTCTGTTGTTGTTGTTTTTTTTTTCTTCTCCCTAACGTGCATGTGCGGACGTGTGTCTCATATGTGACTGGTGCATGACGGGTTAAATTCTGCAGTTTTTCGGCTGATGCTGTTATCGGCTATCCCGGCCCAGAGATGGGTGACTGAATGGACTTTGTGCTGGAGGGTTATCATTGGTTTTCGACCTTACTGTCAACAAGGAAAGGTGTGAAAATATGTTGATCCTGCTATCGGAGTTATTGGTCCCGGGATGGAGCCGGCTGCGGCTTCCTTGGATATTTTAGGTTAATTTCTTAACCTCCTTATGGGATTCCGGTGGTTAGAGATGCAGCCTAATGCAGTTTTATTTTGAAGGATGCTGGTTGATGTCAGATTTTGATTCCCCTTTTAAACAGCTTGACCATAAAAAAGAGGAGTCTAAGTGGATTAGGCCATCTTAATTAAAATCATGAAGATTAAAGTATTTTTTACATTGCTGCCATTATATATCTTATAATTATCATGGAATGATAGCCTTATCTCATTCACCTAAAGCCACCCTCTTTAAAGATAAGGAAGTCATAGGCAAAATGTTCAGGACACTTAACAGCTTAATAGCATCCATTATCTTAGAGGATGCTCCATCAGCCAGAAGGCTCTCTAGCTGTGTTGCCTCCGCCTGCATTTTGCTGCTCACAGACTGTGACCAGAGCTGCATCAAGGCCTACAGGGACACGAGGGCAGTGGATGCGTTAGAGTCTTTTTTCTCACCACATATTTCGCATCTTCTTCGGTCTTATAGTGAGTTTGTCATTGATTCAAATACCTCATCCATCTCTCTCCCTGCTCCTGCCCAGTGCCCACTGATTGTAATGGATCTGACAGGTGCATGCAATATGGTGGAAACCTGTCTCATCCTTTAGTTCACTGCAGCCAGCTCTGAAAGGAAATATGTTGTCAGGTGCTGCAGGCTTTAAATCGAAGGTAAACTTATAGAAATGATATATTTGGATGTTGTTGAGGCAAGATCTTAAGGATTTTTAGCCTCTTTTTCCCTGCACCATTTCCTTCTACTGTGCTGATCTGAAATGTTATATCGGTTAAGTGCAGAGGTTGCCAGTTTGGATATTTGGATCAGTTGAATGGATAATTTTGAAGTTTTTGAGTTTTGCAAGCCCCTTGTATCAGCAAAAGAGAATGGTGCACCTAAAGTAAACACTCAGCCATTTCATAGTTTGTGTCTCTTGTGCAGCAGTCTTCTTTTCTTTTTCTTTTTTTGCTGCCTCATGTTTTATAAATGTCTGGTGCTGTGAGAAGAGAATGCAGCATGTGCATCTGTGCATCCTGTAAAGATGCATTTGAGCTGCAGTTCCAGCAAGTCTCCTCATCCTCATCATCAAAGTTTCTCCCCATCATTTGGGCAAAGAGTAAAGTGAAAATGAAAGAGAATTGTGAAGGGTAACAGTGTTTCCCCTAGGTTTACAGCTTTGGAGGGGGGGGGGAGGTGCAGGCAGACGGACGCAGACACAAACACTTGAAGGAATCTTGGTGTTCATGCGTTACTTTTAATGACAGCTGTCCTGTTCTATCGGAAAGGTTTCCTTAAATGACTTATTTCCCTGATTTCCGACTCTATCCACGATTCCATCTCTACACTATCCCATCTCTACAAAATAAAAGTATTATTTTTTTAATCAACTTGACCTTCCCTAATATAATGCTGGGGAAACACTGGGTAAAGTCACAGAGGTTGCTTTGTAAAGGTCCCCACATCTGCAGTCATTGATGGCATTTCCGCCTCTTTGAGGCGCCTGGACAAAGACCTGCCTGTTCTTCTAGTAAGTAGGGAGTTTGGAGTTAGAAGCAGCACAGAAGCAGGCTTTGATTTCAGAGTGGGATGCACGGGCTTGAATTATGTAAGATAAAGAGGAGGAGAGGATGAAAGAGACGTGATAGAGAAGAGAGAGAGAACGGCAAAGAAGGGGGAAATGAGAGTGATGCCCTGAGATAGGGAGTGGAGGATGCAGGGTAAAGAGGAGTCATACTGAGAGGATGAAATGTGCTGGAGAAAAAATCAGACGTGACACTTACCTGTCAAATAGAGGAAAGTTATGGGAGGAGAGCACAGGCAGACTTTAACAGGGTTGTAATGGTGAAAGAAAGCAACACTTGGAGATGTGAGAATGCTGAAAGAAGTGTGAAAATGGATTAAAAAAAAAGTAGAATCCAGCCGAAGTGAAATCAAGTCTGAGTGAAGTGAAAGAGTCAGGGAAGGACAACTAATGGCATATTTGTCTATTTCCATACTTTCCAGCCCAAAAAGTCTGTAAAGCTTATTCATGTTTTCATTGTATTGCATGTTTATACTTAAGGAGGATGCCTTTGTAGTTTTGACTTCAAATGCTCAAAAATGCACAAAACAAAGTAGAAGATTTCACATTTCTTGCTTCACAGACCGTGCATATAGAAACACCAGATTGGCTGCAGTGTTTCCTCGAGGCCTACTGATGATACTAACAGATGGACACGGCTCACTTTTGTCTTTCTTCTGAGCCATCCGAACCTGCATCCGACTATAACCGACTATACTGAATTCATTAAATGCTGATGGCTGCAGGGGTCAACAGTCAGTTTTTGCAAGTTGTAAATTATGACCAGAGCATGAAAGACTGTGCTTCAAAGCAGAAAATATGCGATACAATTATCGGACACTGCAGTAATAAAATTGCAGTGTAATTTAAGTGATATATAGACAACTGAAGAAAAGGACACTTAGGGTTTGCTGCCAAGAGACTCTGTTCTGTGTGACGCAGCTTTGCTCCATATTTTGTTTCAGATGCAATAAAATCAGGCTTTTAGACTCTCTGTCTGGCTATCTGTGCAGATGTGTGGCATGCACAGGGCAGAGGAATGTGTGAGACCTTATGTGAAACAGTAATGTGGGTTGGAAGATGGGAAACCTGGGAAATCTGCACTATGCCTGCTCGCAGGCTTATACACAGTGATGATGGCTTAATGCTTTGTCATTTCCAGCAGGAAAGGCATGTCTTATGATTCCTCCTGTGTTAAAACGAGGCACTTTTATCTTCAGTGCAGGTTTATTAGCTGCTGCTGCAAAGTGTGACTGGGATGCAAAGTGCACTGCAGGTGTTCCTCCCAGTCCCCTCCTGGGCTTTGTAAATGGAAACAGCAGTAAAATATCTTTTGCACAAAATGCGTTTCCTCAGATGCCTCGCTGTAGCAGTCGGCACTTTCACTTCAACACATTCCCCTCAGTGTTGTGATTACTCATGGCTCTTCCTAGAAACCATCATGAGGGTTTGAGAAAAAGAACGTTTCCCTGCATGCAGGCTTTCTCGCAGTGGAAAGTACCCTATTGTTTCCCTGCAGTCTGAAAGAATTATCTGGAGCTCCATGAATTATTCTGTATTTAAATTCATGAACTTAATCAATAAACAATCCCTGACAGTGATGTAAAGCCAGGTGGTCGTAATAAACATGTGCATACACTTAAGAAAAGGAGGTGACTCCTTTAGATATAAATGCTGGTTGACATTTTATTAAGACAACACTATCTTAAACACATAAATCTTAGCATGGCCCGTATTTTTCAGCTGCCTTAAGATGTTCTATGGCGTTAGAATTACACTATCACTGACCTTCTCAACAGAAGGTTAACCACACGTTGTTTTTAAAGTCTCAAGTCCAATAAAAACCTCCAGGTAAGGCAGATACATTTAATCTACAGGGAGCGCTAGATTCTCTGCAGATCTGCTTGGGTGCTTTGTTCGATGTTTAGAGTGATAAGATAACCCTATTGAATTCTTAATGCCCCTTAAAGAACATCTACAGGTTAGGAAAGAAGACAATGCAGGCCTTGTATGTATGCAAGGTTAAAGCCCACTGTTTTGTATGAATAATGAAGTATACAGCATTATGAATAATGAAGTGCATACTTTTTGTGGCATATAGATAACCTTGACAGTGTGCTGTTTCCCGCTGACTGTAAGCACTGCAGGTGTTTCCTCCTGCTCCCCTCCTGGGCTTTATAAATAAAAACCACAGGAAAGTTGCTACTGCCCCAACGCCTTGATGTTATGCCTCTGATGTCTCAGCGCAGAGGAACGTCATTCACATCATCAATATCGCCTCAATTAATCAGGAGTCTACCCTTCCAACTGTCCTATGAGTATATATCCCCCCCACCCTTGCAATAGTCAACATTTCATGTTCAAAGCTCATCCGATCGAAGACTTTTTTTTAGGAAAAAGAGGAAATAGATTTTTGTCCTTGACTCTTCAAGGAACGCCTTAGACAGCACTGAATCAAGGAGCACTTTGTTTTACTGCTGTATTTGACTGCAAACAGACATTCTAAGGGTTCACGTCCTTTTACCTCTGTTTGGAAAGCGAGTTAGTGGTTAGTGTTTTTTTTTTGCTTATTTACAGCCATGACCGTAAAAAGTGATTTCCTTAATGTTGGGGCACAGGTCAACCTTAAATCTTTGGAACAATTGATTACATTTGGGCGGGGATCGGGCTCTTGAATTGGAGCCAAAAGGCTGTTATTGTATTGTCAGCCAATAAAGACACATTAGTCACAGTACTCTAAATCTTGTTGTTTCTTGCACAATAAAAAAATGTTCCTTCAAATTAAAAGCTTCCTTCAGAAGAGCAAAAAGAAGCAAAACAAATATCGGAAAACTGAATCTCTAAATGAAAGTAAAGTTCACTTTATGAGCCTCGTGGTCACTTCAGTTATCACAGGGTGAGATCATCCATGGATAATATCATACACCAGTGTGATTTAGCCACATCTGTCACCAGCATGTCCTCTCTATTGATTCAAAAGTTAAGTAATAAAGAGTGATGTTTTTTAAACGAACAAATTGCCGTTATAATAATGTGCCTCTTTTGTTTCCGTTTTATGTTTCATTTGATCTTTCTAGAAGAATCAACCAGGATGGCGACAGTCAGGATGATCGTATTCAGCGTTCTGCTCACAACAGGTATGTTAAGAACACTTCAGAATTATGTTTCCCTCTTGGTGTGGTGTTGGAATATGGAAATTCTTCAATATCTTGAAGATGTTGGAATCCTCATTTAGAAAATATGTGAAATAATCCAAAATAATATGAGACAAAATGTTACATGTAGGAAAAGACGAACATTGAATAAAAAAGAAAAATAGGAATCAGAAACTGTTTAATTGATGGCAAAAGATATCTATGATTTTACTTCATTTGTATTTTCTTCCTTCTTCGTCTACAGCTCTTTCCGTCCCTGTAAAAGGTAAGATTCAGTGTACCCGTGTGTAATACAAAATCCTGAACTCATCACTCATTAATTATAAATTATGAGCTTTTCGTGCCCTCTTCTGTGGTTGTCAATTCTTCCTCCTTCAATTTCCCATCATACGATCCAGTCGAAGAGGAATCCATGACTTTGTTCCACGGGGAGGACTTCCACATCTTGCTGCCCTCACTCACACTGGAGGTCACGTTTAAAAGCAGATCTGCTCCGCGGTCCGGCGATGTTGACCTGATGCGAGGAGGCAGCGTGGTCAACAGCCGGGCCAAACTCAACCGCCACCTCAGCCACCTCATTATAGACGCTGTAGGTGAGGGAGACGAGGGCGTGTACACAGTGAAGAATCCAGAGCAGCCAGAAAACATCAGACGCATCAGTCTCATTGTGCGAGGTAATGATGATTCATTCATATGTCAACTATTTGATCCATTTGGTCATTAAGCATTGAGTCTATAAAATCCTATAAAAGGGGAAAATATCACACGTTTGCAGATACATCTTTTAGTGATTTCAGCCTTATTTTGTCTGAATCGTGGTTCACATAATAACTCAGGCAACACAGGAACCCAGGCAACTTAGGTGAAGACCAAGAGGATGGCGGCTGTTAAGACGAGAAAAGAGCAATTATAAGAGAAAGAATAAGAAGAGATAAAAAAAAAACAATAAAAAATTGGCTAGAAGCTAGAAATCAGGATGAGAGAAAAGAAGAGAGAAAAGTGAAAAATGTAAAAATAATAATATTAAAAAGTGGGTTATAAGCTAAAATGAAGTAAACAATAAAAACTGCTGAAGCATTAAGAGATTAAAAGTCAGTAGAAACATAAAAACAATGAAGCAGGAAAAGGATCTGAAGTCAATAAAAAGAGAAGAAATAATAATATATTAAGATGAAACATAATAAGAACAATCATAATGAATGAACACCAAAAGAGCAATAAAATGGATTTAGTATTTAGGGGAAATAAATAACAGAAGTAAAGAAATAAGATGGGCTACAAGAAGACAAACAGGAATAAGAAGAAATGTTAATGAATATATATTTCTACTGATACTCTCCGCTTAAAGGGAGTGATTTCACAGGTGGCACAGTTGTTCCCTTCATGGTAAAGAATATATACATTTCTTCCACCACTGACTGACATCAGCTCTACAGCCCCCCCCCCACCCCCCCCCCCCCCCCCCCATGATAAATAAGCCTCTTAAATCTGATGTGGAGTCAGAGTCAGGGCCGAGTGGGAGCTGTCAATTCTCCTGCTTTAATCATTCAGTCAGCAGCAGAATAAACCTCTCCGTTACACATCTTTTTTTGTCCTTTGAGTGTTACAAGTTACAGCAGCGTGGACGAGTAATTCCGATGAGATTAGACACACAAACACATCAACACATAAATATACATCAAACATGCAGAGGGAGGAGTGGGCTCAAGCCAGCATGAATAAAGGCCACTGTGGAGTAGCAATATGTAGAGGATACAACACATGAGGGAGTAATGTGTTTGTGTTTGTGTGTGAGAGCATGTCAGAGCTGCTAGGCAGTAATTATGCAGCTTTTTAACCACCAACCCACTCCTCTCTCCTTCCCTCCCTGCTGTTTTCCCATCGTTATCTTGTCTTTACTGTCTTTCCCTCTGTTCCATTTGTTCCTATCCTTTCATTTCAGCTTCTCTTGATATTTTTGGATCACTGCTTCTTTCTGTGCAATTTGTCTCCCTTTTTTTTGCCACATCTGTCACGCCATTTCCTCTTCCTAACCCTTCATCACTCCCTTTACCCCATCTGTCCTTTCTCTCACTCGATTTCTTTAATTTTGTTAAAATCACCCAGAGCAAAACGACTCCCTCTCTTTTCTCCTTCATACTGAAATGTCAGGCGATATCCTGTCCTCTGTTAATAATCTTGTAGCTTCCTTTTACTCTTGAACAAACTGTTCTCTACTTCTTTTTTTGACCACCTAGATTGCTCCAACGAGCAGATCATTAAATATGGAGAAAACTATGATATACCTTTGATGGGGGTGACTCCACCCATCACGCTGGAATACAGGCCCATTTTTGTGGAGGCAAACCAGACATCGAGGTAGAGTCAACAAAATTACATTGATATGTGAATCCTTGGAATTTGTAATGACATTATCCTACTTTGATGCACATGCTCTGTGACAGAGGGTCCCAGATTTACGAAGAAAAGGTTAAGAAAGTTTTATCCTTTTGACTTTTTCTCCTGCAGACCTGCTACGGTGCTTTTGACCAGCACGGGCTTGTCCAGGGAAGGCTATGCAGGTCGAATCAGCGTCAGGGAACGCCAAGTCACCCTCAGCGCCGTCACAGGTGCAGACGAGGGCAGTTACACGGTCAGGGATGCCAAAGGTGATATCCAAAGGAAAGTGTGTCTTAATGTCCGAGGTGAGAGCGCAAATGAAGACTAATCATACATTTCTTCCTCTCTCCCATGCTTGACCTGTTTTAAACGACCTGCTCCTTCCATCAGGATGTTGTTGTTGTTTCCTCTCTGTTGTAACGCTCCTGTTGGCTGTCATAATGTCTTTTTAAAGACCCAAACATTAATGGGCTCTAGCAGGCTAATGCATTTTAGATGATCCATGAGCCTGTACACAAAGTGGAGTTGTATTTATAATATGTCCTCCCTTTCTCTCTCTCTCTCTCTCTCTCTCTCTCTCTCTCTATGCCTCAGAGCACCAGACTTTTGTGACTCTACCGTACGGTAAAAGACTTAAAATCAACCTGATCCTCAACAGCACTTTGCTCCAACTCTACTACACGCTGAACAGAGACTCCATCCCTCATCTACTGCTGGATAAAGGAGAATTCACAAGTGTAACTTCAGCTGCTTATTTCTTTTTAGTCCGAGCACTTCTGTGGTAATTTTCTGTAGAGAAAACAAGAAATAACAAAAAATGAAGAAGACCCTTAATCACCATTTATCAAAGATTTCTGATTTTATTGTCATTTATAATGGAAGTCATATTTAAACTACATGCCTGCCATTTCTATCACTGATTCATTTCAACTTTGTTTTAAAAAATATCTGTTTATACAGATGATACTATTTTTATATTTGAAATGCATTGTAACATGTCACATCTACACGACGGAGGATTAGGGCCACGTTAATTTTTTTAGTTTTTTTAATTTCGAAATTAAAGTCGTAAATTTACGAGAATAAAAATCGTAAATTTACGAAATTAAAGTCGTAAATTTATGAGAATAATCTTTTGAGATCAGCCTGCGCAAAATGAATGAAAGTAGAACTCTTAAAGTATTTTCCTCTGCAGACAACTTCCTCCAAGTCAGTGTGGTTCTTTCTTCGGAAAAGCCACAGTTTCTTGCAGTATCTTTTCATGGTGCTGATATTTTATGACGATGTGAAGATGATGTGCCAAAAGCATTTGTAGTTTCATATATGCATAAGTAAAGCCCCAACACAACTATTTGTGTCTGTTATCGGTCTGCCTTGTTAAAGTGTCTCATGTGCAGAGACAGTTTGTGTCCTGTTCATCATTTTACAGATAAACAAGGTCTTGCAAGTTGAAGTGAAAACTTCTCTTGAACTAACTGTTTTTACCAACTACACAAGGAAGTAGCCTTTTTCCTTATTAGTGAAACCTTTAGGACAAGATGCTCCATGTTTGTCATTTGAGAACAGGATGCTGCTACTCTTCTGATCTAGACTAAAATAACGACTTTATTCTTTAAAGACTTCAAGAGTTCTACTTTCATCATTTTCGTGCAGGCTGGTCTCAAACTCGTTAATTTACGAGATTAAAGTCGTAAATTTACAACTTTAATCTCAATTTTTTTATTTTTTTAACGTGGCCCTAATCCTCCGTCGTACATCTACTTAAAGCTCATGTGAGGAGTATTTAGTTTGGTTATGACGCAGACTGATATTCATATTGATGCCTCTGTATGACCTACAAAAGCAAACAAGACCTTCAGCAACAAGATCGATCATTTCTATATAACAATTGTTCACTGTTTGTAAACATTGCTATGAGTCACAGAATGCTATAGAAACATCCTTTGTTTAGTTTCTACAGCAAGGAAGACTAGTGAGTGATATAGTTACAAGAGTATGTTACAAGAATGCAGGATGAGATTTCCTTGATCAGAAAACACCACTCATGTTCAGGACAAGAACGACTAAGAAATAAGAGTTGTCCATAGGGGGAGCCAAAATCGGCGCAAAACGTTCATCACGGGAGCTTAAAACTAACGTTTTAATATTTAACTGCAAAACAGACATTACAGTGTTATTTTCTTTACTGCCTCACCCAACAGTCTCATTTGTTTTCTTTTCTTTTTAAAATATTTTATGAATGAATTTTGGCCTTTTATGCCTTTTATTGTAGAGATAGGACAGTGGATAGAGTTAAAAATCGGGGACAGAGAAATTGGGGCGTGACATGCAGGAAAGGAGCCACAGGACTCGGAACCTGGGCCATCCCCACCAAGAGGACCACAGCCTTGGCACATGGGGAGTGCGCACCAACCAATAGACTACCAGTGTCCCCCAAAATGATTACATTTTAATGTAATATGATATTAACCTTTGGGGGAAACTGAAGAAGCCATGTTTAAGACAGCAAAAATAATCCTCATAGTTGACGTGGTTTTCATTGTTTAGGCTCTCATCTGTGAACAAAGTTAATCACAGGAAAGGATAAATGTAGACTCTGTTGGTTTATAACCTCAGCTAAGTGTTCCATTGATCTCCAAACGGTACTTATTTACCACATATTTTAAGAGTGCTTAGTGAATTTTATACACTCATAAATTATGCAAAACAGAAGCTCCTATTCGCTGAACTTTTAGGTGAAGTATGGTTAAAAATGTATATAGGCATCTATAATACTTTATAACAATTAGAGAAATCTACACATATCAAACAAATGTAATACATAAAAACAAACACACTGTAATGAACACATCTCCTTCTTCTCGTGTGTTTTGTCTGTCTGTTGTTCAAGACAGTTACCCATTATCTTTTCTTTTTATCTTACATTTTACATTTTTCTGAATTGCTAATGGCCAGAGCTTTTTTATTGCTTACAAATACTGCAAAAGAACATTTAAACAAGTACGACCAACCCTTGTTAAGTTAACTTTAATGCTCTTTTTTTCTGTAATTGATCATTTTCTGGAGATATGGTCGCTGTTTAATAATTTTAGCTAAGGGTATAAATATGTCAATTTGTTTTATTCTAGGCCCGCGAGGACTTGGGATTGGCGGATCGTCTGTCTATGGAGGGTTCACTGCTTTTTCTGGATCAGGTCACGCCTGCAGATGAGGGCCTGTTCGAGATTAAAGACATACTGGAGTTTGTTGTGGCCAAGACCCACCTGGAGGTAGAACGTAAGTCTGTGGAAAGTTGAAACAAGTTAAATGATAGTTTTATTTATTTATGTTCCATGTTTTAAAGGGGGGCTGCAGGCTGTTGCCTCACAGCGAGGAGGTTCCTGGTTCAAATCCTCGTCGGACAGGAGCCTCTCTGTGTGGAGTTTGCTTGTTCTCCCCGTGTGTGCGTGGGTTCTATACGTGTACTCCGGCTTCCTCCCACAGTACAAAGACATGCCCGTTAGGTTAACTGGTGACTCTAAATTGCCTATAGGTGTGAATGTGAGTGTGGCTGTCTGTCTCTTTATGTCAGCCCTGTGATTGACTGGTGTACAGTCCAGGATGTACCTCGCCTCTCGCTCAATGACAGCTGGGATCGGCTCCAGGCCCCCTCGACCCCGAACGGGAAAAGCGATTAGGAAAATGGATGGATGGATGTTTTACAGGATGATATCAGAACATTAAGATGCTAAAATAATGTTTAAAAAAAAATAAAAGGTCAGATGAATTATTTAGTCTCCCACTCCTTGTCTTTTCTCCCCCCTTATTTTCTTATAATGGCTCTATGCAGCCTATAAGCTGGAGTCCCTGTATGTGGCCATCATCGCCCTGTTGGGCGTGCTGGTTTTCCTGCTGCTGGTCTGTCTGCTGTCCTGCTTGATCAAAGTGAAGAAGAGGGCCAAGAGGGCTGCAGCCCTGGAGAAGATAGCTCAAAATGCTGGCAAAGAGGATGAGGGAGAGGCCTTCAGACAGGTTGGAGAGACAAACACAACTTGCAATCAAAATCTGAAAATGATTTTGATGATTATGTGTGTCCTGAAGAGCTTTTGTCCTTTCTTTGATAGGTGGTGAAGAACATCACCAAACTCAGTGAGGACTCCAAACATTCCCAAGCAGACAACACAGAGAAATCTCAGAGCACAGAAGTGGACATTAAAGTAAGAATTGTGTTATTCTTCTTCCTTAAATTTGAGTCTTTGAGAGGATTTAATAATGTTTCCATTTTTATGCTGTTTTGTACGTTCAGACGGCCGCAACTTATTCAGAACGCTGCTGCTAGAGTCCTCACTAAGGTCAAGAAAGTGGATCACATCAGTCCAGGTCTCAGATTTTGCAGTGGCTCCCCTTGTGACAAATACTTGATTTTATGACAGCACTATTGGTTTTATGAAGCCCTGAATGTGGTTTAGGGTGAAAATCTCTGACCTTCTGAACCTTTCCAATCTCTCAGGTATTCTGGGAAAGACCTTTTCTGTCCCTTCACTTACTGTCCTTGCAGTCAGAACAAAACATGGAGAGGCAGGATTCAGATTTCCCAGAAAACCTGAAGTCTGCTCCAACTCTGATTTCTTTCAATAAAGGTTTAAACTTGTGTTTGCCAATGCCGTTTATGGAATTCAATTTGGGCTATTAGTGCTATTATTCCTGCACTCCAGCTGCGCTGTGAATTTATTTCTCCTGTTTTATTAAATTATATTTTCATCACATTTTACTCTGTTAAACCTCTCCTTATTCCCCCTTTATATTGCCTTGTGTGTCCTTTATATCTTTTCCTTATTCCTTTTTTTTTGTCATCTGGAAAACCCTTTAAATAGTCTTGTTGTTTAAAGATGCTTACCTTTCCTTGTTGTGTGTTTGATTTCAGGGTCTGGAGGTTTCCTCTAAAGAGGTTGGGATCGGAAACCTTGAGACCAGTGACTCTGGTGTTGGCTTTAACACCGCCCTTCCACTGGACACTGACACTGACGCCCCCGATCCAACTTCAGAGTCTGTGGCTGTAACCATCTCTACCGCCCCTGAAATCAAACAAAGTCCACCATCTGCTGCTGAGTCCAAGCCTAGCGATCCACCAGCTTTGGAAATCAAGTCCAGTCCTGTTGCTGAAACTAAGACCTCCCCTGCACCCGAGACCAAGAAAACATCTGATCCACCAGTGGAAGCAAAGTTGGACCTGCCCGAAACAACAGAAGTTAAGCTTAGCCCAACCCCAAGCCCTGAGCCAAAGGCTGGTCTGAGTCCAGCTGATCCAAAACCAACCCCAAGCCCTGAGCCAAAGGTTAGTCTAAGTCCAGCTGATCCAAAACCGACCCCAAGCCCCGAGCCAAAGGTTAGTCTAAGTCCAGCTGATCCAAAACCGACCCCAAGCCCCGAGCCAAAGGCCGCTCTCAGTCCAGCTGATCCAAAGCCTGCACCAACCCCGAGTCCAGAGCCTAAACCAGCGACTCCCAAAGCCACTACGCCAACACCTGAAACTAAGAGTGCCCTGACTCCAACACCTGAACCCAAGAATGCCCTGACTCCCCCCACACCTGAACCCCCCAAACCTACCACACCAGAGCCCATTACCAACGGTACGCCTGAGCCCAGCCTGGATTCCAAATCGAGCCCGGATCATGCTGATATTATCAGCAGCTCAGCTTCAAAAGCAGCCCCCCCAAAAACCCCTGAGGTGTAGCTGAAATCTAGCAGTGCCGCACTGGAGACCAGCATAGAGGGCACTGTGGCTGAGGATTCAACCACCACCACTACCACCACCTGAGACCTGCCCCTGCAAAAAATCCAAGGGAAGCCCCAGATTTTCTCCATCCTTCACCACTGTAGACAATCGAACACCCCAACCAAATCATGAAGAAACCACTGAAACTGGGGCCAGGACTCTGTTTTATCATGCCTGAACACAATATTACAGTGATTATAATATTTCACTTATCTTTACTAATACAAACTTTTTGGACTTAATGAAACTGAAAAACTTCACACAACAAATGCGGCTTGTTGATTGTTAAACATTTAAATTGTAGGCACCTCGTAGCCTCATTTTTTGGTAACTTATGTGTAAAACTGTCAGACTGCGAATGAAATCTTTGCAGAGTTTACAATTAAATTACTAACTCCACGTAAGGTTTTTTTAACAGAATAGTTAGCCAGTAAAAAAGGTTTACAGCATTTCAACACGAAGATACTTGTACTAATTGCCAGAATACTTATCTAACCACTTCACTAATAGCTCGTTACCTTATAGCAATTAGTACCAAACAAACTGCATGAGATTCCCAGCCAATGTCATTTCATACCTTCTCATATTTAACTGCAAATGATGCCACAAAAAGACACTCTATTGAGGGCATTTGTACATATTATTTGGTATATGGATGTTATACAATTGTTCTCAACAATACTTGGACACATAAAGGAAAATCTTTTGTTTTTCTGATCCGTAACCATACAGATGCTAACCCCTCTATTTATAGTCTCAGAGTTAAGATTCAGGCTCCCTGCGGATACCTCGCATGATTAAAATGTGTTTATCAAACCAATCCTTTAACTCGGGATTAACCACTTTACCGTCTTTGATCTGAATTTTCCGGAGGCTCTAAAACAATCCCATTACCCCTACAGTTTGAGGAGATGGGGGGGCTCATGCTAGCTGCAACTCCAGGCACTTAACAGGACCACCATTGTGCCATTGTAAGATGGGCTTTTTATAAGTCATATACTGAATGAAAAGTATCTAAAAAGTTAAAGTCTTCACAACAAACATGCAGGTTTAGTCTGTCATTTATTCCCTGAGTGCACCCTATCTCCTTCCTACATTATTTCCTTTCCCTTATATGCCATCATTTTAACTACTTGCATACTAATTGCATGGCCTTTGATAGATATTTGAAATCATGGCATAGTGTTTGCTCCAGTTAACAATGTCAGCGACTAGTTCTTGTGCCATTGGCCTACTAAATTGAGTAAAAAGCAAAAAATATATATGTCATGCATGTTTAATTGCTCCAAATTGCTCCTATGAGGCCTTTAGGTGTGCAGGAGGAGGTGTGCAGATACAATATTGAGTTGGAAATTGCACATCTCAACCTCATGTTTTAAGTGACTGACATGAAAAACAATGACAGCCCATGCATGGAGCACTAAAGACAACAAAAAAACAAAAACATTTGAATTTGTGAATGAAGCACACGATGAAAGCCATGGAAATTCAATCAGGTAATCATTGAAATATAGGAAAATAGTATAAAAAAATAAAATAAATAACTGGACTATCTAGGTAGCTGTCTTTCTTATCAGATGTTCTTATTAGTAGGTGCAAATCAGGCAGAATTTATAAAAAGCCATATGACTACATAGATTTAGATGTAATGATTTGATTTAAAGATTGATTGATACAGTATAAAAACAAACCAAAAAGGCAAACCCATCAAGGCGCCATGATCCTAAATGAACAAGAAATATTAGACGTGTTAACCCTGTACAAAGTCATTCTGATGTAAAAACACTGAATATGCCTCATTTGTTGTCTGGATCTGTGAAGGAAACACAAACCAGTTTTAACAGTACTAAAAACCATTTCAATCCACACAGACACACACATTCCAGCCTTGTAAATATTGCATGTGTGCACCAGTTTAACCCCTTAAAGGCTGAATGTTTTTAGTGTACAGGATGGTGGTTGTATTATACGTAATAATAGAGAAGAAAAAAAAACGTAATTTCTCACCAACCTTAAATGCAGAATATAAAATATATATATATATAATATATACCATAAACACTAATATTCACTCATGTCTTGAACTAATTTAAAAACCAAATATTGTAAAAATCCGTCCAGATGAGATCTTTTTTTAGATCAGTTATCTGTCATTCAAACATGATGATACTCACAGCATACAGCTTCTCTCACGGTATTTACATGTTCTATTAAATGTTTAACCTACGTCACTTAAAGCATGCTCATCTCATGTGCTGAAAAAACAAGCTTTTATTGTCCTACAGCTGCGCGCGTGTGTGACTTGGGGAGTGATGTTTTTTAATGTCGCCATCATGTACACGTATGAAAGAGTGTGAATGATTTATGATTGTGATTCATGTGTGTCGGTGATGTGTGCCGAGTTTATTCATAGACACTTTGTACAGAGTGAAACAATGTGTGCTTCTTCCTCGTCTGTTGTGAGTAAGGTATTCATGTGCCTGCTTAACTTGTCCTGCAATGTCAAGAAAAAACGTGTTCACGTCATGAGTGTGAATGTGTTTAAAGCCACAACATACTGTAAAAGATATTGTAACTTTGAGATTTCTGAGTGACTCTTGTCTATCTGTTTAGTGCCTAAACCCTGTTTTGGATAGTTGGCCTATATTCTGTAATGATCCAACACTCCTTATTGCACCTTTTACTTGATATTTATGGTATTCAGTGATGTAGAAAACTGTTTGCATACATGACTGAACAAAGTAGAACCACTGACAGGTCTATGGTATGTTAAAGTGTAGGAGATATGTGATGCATTTTCTACAGGTGATGCAAGTCTGAGTAGCAGAAGAGAAGATGAGTTTGCTCTGTGTGTAGGTGAGGGTGTTTCTTCATTTCATTGATCATTGTTGCACAGTTTTAAGGACGTGATTGAATTTGGTTGATAGCAGCAGATGAATGAGAAGCTCTGTGTGGTTAACCCTCAGGCTTATGTTGAGAGACTGCTAAAAACAGCATTTTCAGGCACCACTTCTTATGTATTCTGTAAGTGATTGTAAAACCACGCCGCTCAGAGTGGAAATGGATGAGAAAGAGGCAGACAGAGTGTAGTTTTTGGTTAACCAGCATTTCAAAGACGGCTCAGTCTAGTGGGATTTCAAATTGTAACATCAAGTAAAACATCAGTCTGGGTTTCTGGTTTGATACCCACTTTTGGAAACCCTCAAATAGAAACCATTAATTGTATTACCACTGGCATTCTCTGCACTATGTGAGTATAGTCTCTGCCCTTATCTCTCTGTTTACTTCTGCTGTCCTGGCCTGGGTGTGGTGTGACATCCCACCTGTTCTCTCTGTACTCCCTTTTTGCACAACTTCACACTGATGTTTTGTAAAGAAAATACTTTGTTTCCTTATTTCATGTCTAAAGGAATACTAAGAATAATCAAGCTATTACGACATTTGCTGTCCTGTTGTCCTTGTTTCCTTTTCTTTGTCTCAGAGTTGTCTGTTGGATCTCAGCCTGGCGTCTCACTCAATGTCAACGGCCATTTGTTTGTGTCACGCGCCACTCTCTGGCCCCTACAGGCCCGCATGCCTCTAATTCAAATGCCTCGTTTTTGAACTGCCATGAATTTGCCACGGCACACTGGAGCAGCGCTGGCACAACAAAGATATTTTTAAACATGCTAAAGGTAACAGCATAATGTTGTTGACACCTGCTGGACCTTGAAGCTCCCAGCTGGCTGCAGATAATAAGCTCCAGTGTGTGTTGTTTTTCTAAAATCTACAGATATAACTGAATCAGCTCAGCATTTATATGAAGCACCAGAACTCATAGCATTAAACTTTAACAATCCTGAATTATTTCAAGTAATCTCAGAAAACGCAGAAGATGTATATGCCAAAATTAAATTAAAATGTTTTTGGAAACATATATTCTTATGATCATTTTAAAGTGGACTTTCTATATAAGTACATCAAAGTGTGTAAAGCTTTGTTTAAGGATTTATTAACTGGTAATGAAACAGCACCAAATGAATAGTGATGCCTCTATATGACCCACAAAAGCAAACAAGACCATCAGCGACACAAATTACGATTTATATACATAGCAACTGTTTTTGTTGTTGTCGCTTACAGCAGCTCATTAAGGTTAGGATGATTTACAACACAATGAAGAAACACAACTTCTTCTTTGTTACATTTTCCACAGCAAATATCCACAATGACTGATACATCTGACTGTTAAAAGACAGCTGGATGAGCTGTTTTGATAGAAATCATGACTTGCGCATAAGAACAAGATTAGCGAACAAATAAGACTTAGCCTACTTTGTACACAGGGGGCACCAAAGTCACCACAAATCGAAGGTTCCTCACAGGAGCTTATTTATGAGGGCTGAATCTTATTTATATTTTCATTGTTGGCTGTAACCAGCATACATTTGGATTTTTTTGTGTTCAAAGTAAAACAAAGGCATTATTTGCTCAATAGTTTGGAATTTAATTTTCTTTCAATTCAAGCACGGAATAATTCTGAGTTCTTCCAGCTCTTAATTTTAATTCAAAAAATATATTCTTTTGCTGGAAAACTGTTTCTTATCATAGTGAGGGGTTAAAAATCTTAAGTGCTGCATTGTTCTTCCCATCATCAGAGTCACATGGATTATAGAAGGGGAACAGAGGGACCATAACTGTTCCCATGGTGAAGGTGTAAATCGGCGCCATGGAAACAGCATTATAGAAAGACACTTCCTCATTTTCACAGTCTAAGAATACACCAATGCGGGCAAGTCGGACAGACACGATGACCTTGGTGGGCTCTGGGTCCGTGCAGGCTAAAACAGATCCACCTTTCAGGGCCAGGGTCCACAAGCCGCTGGAGGTTCCCGTAGCATCCATCTCCCCTCTTTCAATATCCTCCCGTGCCACGCCCAACCTCCACGCTGTCTTATGAGCCACCTCCACCTCCCAGTAGTGCCGGCCTGTCGTGAAGCCCTTACTTCCCAGCACACAGTAATAATAATGGAACCGTCCAGGGCTTGGATCACAATCCTGCTTGTCTTTATCCTCGTCAAACCAAACTGAAGTGCAGGACTTGGACAGGGACAGATTAGGGTGGGCTGTGTTGGGGTCAAAAGTCACTGATGTAATATCTGCAGGAGAAATAGAGTTTAAGTAAAGTGAGACTTTCTGTTTGCTTTGTTTTATTTTTATGAAATATTCTAGACATACTTGGATAGAGGCAGCTTTTCATGTGCTTCCATATCCTGTACTGTATGGGGCCCACAAACTGACCAGAGCGCACCTCAGTGTCTACCTCCGCCGGGAGCACCAAACTGACCTGAGACCTGCTTGGACAAAATGGAAAGAAAGGCAGACTGAATGATGAGTCAGAGGATTTCAACCTGTTAAATCACACACAAAGTGTACATTATGGAAATTGATAAATGAGTCACTTCCATGGTGCATGCACATGAGATAAATGAGATGTGAAGAGAACAGTGGAGGCAGAAAAAACGTCTGATGGAAGAAAAAAAACTTTGAGAAAAACTTGCCTCTTTATGAGATCTTGAATTTCCTGCAATGACAGAAACAGTTTAGGAAACTTGGTAGTGAATATAGAACTCATAAATGTTTATACAAGCGGTCACATGTGTTAGACTGCCTCATGCTGCTCATTCCTATTAGCTGACTCATGCCTCAACTGCCTTTTGTCCTTTCACTTTCAAATGAGAAATTGATTTTGACCTGCAAAACAGAGGAAGTCAACTGTTAAGCCAATCAGTGTCTCTAATTGATCAAATAAGTGCTGAAGAAGAGGAGGAGGAGAACAACTAACAGGGTTGCTCTGCAGTTCTGAGATTGGGTCCCTTTTTCTAAAGCTTCTAAAGTCACTTTGTTTTCCAGCAACTCTAAGTAGTCCACACAGAAAAAACAATTATAGATGTTTTTCATTTGAAGAGTCGCAAATATGGATAGCTCCAATGACCGTAATTAAACCCTTGCGTGGCTCTGCAGTTGTGCAAAGAAGTTTCCCAATTTGTTATGGAGGAAGTCCAAACTTTTCTGTACCTCCCCTTTTATTTCCACTCTGACATTAGCTCAAGATCTTTTTATATCATCCTTATCAACAACCCCAAATTTGCATGGTATGTTCAATCCAAACTTCAGTGATATTCAGATGTTATCTCTGTATTGTTTATTTCTTCTTCTTTAGTTTAACCACATCCTCACTTTCAAAAGATTCGGACTGTCTTCCTCAGCCAATTTGCCATTCAGCACTGCAATCGCCCTCTCCAAGTCTCTCCCTTGCTCTATTATCTTCTTCCCTCTTTCCTTCAGCTGCTTTAGTTGTTTCTGTCTCTGCCTGTTCAGTCGCTCCAGGTCCCTGCTCTCCTCCTCGTCTAGGAAACGATGGAGGTTCTGAAACTCGGCTCTGATATCTCGTTCCAGGGCATCAAAGCTGTTCTAAAAGACACGAGGGAAGAGATGGACAGAGAGAGACAATTGTGAACTAAGACTTTGGATGTGACCAAGAAAATGACTTTGTGGATTTTACAAGAAAGACAAGAAGTGGCTCTGGCAGAATGTTAAGCACACAGGAGTTACTGTGTATGAAAAGAGTGTATTTCTGAACAAGATAAGGATTAATAATGCAGCAACAATACCTCTACTTGCACAGACTCTATGTATGTCTCTCTCTCCGCATCTCTGCACTCATCTACCTCGTGCTTGATTCTTTTTATAGCCTGGATAAGCTTTTCCTGCAACACACACACACACACACACACACACACACACACACAGAGGAGACATATAATTGTGGGGAACGAAACATAGACTTGATTAAATATTCTGCAACAAAAGTTTATTTCATTATAACAGGAAATTTCCACCTGCTGCTGAATGACATGATACACGTTATATACCTGTATTTATTTGACAGTACACAACATAAGTCTTACCTTGTACTCACAGAGACGACTTTTATTGCAATTGTTGTTGCTGTCCTTGATGTGGTTTTGGTACATTCCAGTTCTGCAAAATTGGACATGACAGAAATTGAGAAGACTCCTAAGAAAGTGTAATAAAAGTGATGGAAAGGAGAAAAAGGGATGGACAAAGAGGAGGACATGACAACAATACAATGTAGGAGAAAGAGGGAGAAAGAGAATACAAGCAAGATGAAAACAACCACTAGACTAAGTCAAACTAATAGAGTTTAAAGGACATACATCCAAGCTGAAGATTAACAGGAGAAAGCAAATTGACAGGCACAGATCAGTATCCACAGCCTAACGTGAGAATATATGGATCCATTAGAGGGAAAAGAGAGAAAGGGGGTGTGGAGGGGAGGACGATGCCAGGAGGGCTCGCTGGCTGGCTGGCTGTTTGGCAGACTGCAGCAATTTATGGCAGCAGACACCTAAGAGTCTATTTCTGTCTGCCAGTGTCTTTGAAAACAAAATGAGAGACAGCCAGCCAGTCAGTCAGTCAGTCAGCCAGCCAGTCAGGCATTGTGTTTCTGTGTTTGTCTGAAAGAGAGAAAATTAATGTTTTGGGGAGTGAGAGTACAGAAACCATGAGCTATGACAATGCTTTTATATGCTGTTTCACTATCTTGTTTTTTCTTGCATTGGCGGAGACTGGGGTGGGGTGGGGAGGGAGTTTCAAAACGTAGACTCAGCGTTTCTGCTCTCTTCCCTAAGGAATACATATCTGCCAAGCCGCATGCCTTTTCTCTTTTTTTAACCTTCCTCTGGTCTGTAAATTCTTATGTAAACTTCAAGTATCTCTACTGATTTCTTTTTCTCCCCTCTCTCCCCACCTCCCTGTCTCTCTTCTTGCCATGGGTATGTGCACCGAGGCAGCATTACTCATCTTTGCAAGTGTTCTTCATCTATAATTCATGGTGCTCTGCACTGGCAAGTGACTGTGCTGAACTGGGGTCGAGCTGCAGACTGAGTGCAGTACAGTATGCGGCAGGTGGAGGGGACTTTGACAACAAAATACAAATATCAACCATGGAAGATTGTGCAGCAATCCACTGAATATCAATGCAGCAACGACTCAAGTGTGGCCTACTGATTCAAATTAAATAAATGTCTTTGAGTAGCTGTTACAGTTATATTTTGGGATCTTTTTTAGGGAAATCATTTGTTAAAACGATTTTTCTTGTGATCCTCAAACCTTATTATCATATGAACACAGCATTTGAATTCGACCTTTTATATTCAGAAACAGAACAAAATATAGCGGAATTACTGAGGGCACAAACATTGTTGTCTCAAACAAAGACTATCCGAGCATAATGAATATATTAGGATTAAATAACAAATCTAGCTGACTCTATGCTGTAAATAAAATGACAGAAAAGGACAAATGAAAGTCATGGTAAGCTCTGTTAGCTTAATAGGATACAAGCACTAGCTCTCAGTACTCTGAAACAGTATAT